TTGGATGTCACGACACGAACTATTTGACCCTGACTGTACTGTTTGTCGATACAATAATTTTGCTTGTATATTTTGATTGGATATTGGGTCTAAATATAAATTACAATTTACAATACCAGGAGTATGCATTTGCGCCGTATCAATAAAGCAGTCCCGTTCTTTGACAGATAGGTTGGTTAAACTTGATAATGTTTTCATGTAGTTGAGGTAGTGTATTTTGTTTTAATGCGAGGCAGGTGAACGTGCAGAAAGAAAGAACTGATTTTATTGGGCTTAAAGAAGTAAATCGCCAATGATACTTTTATTCTTAAAATTTTTCCAACTCCTAAGGTCCACACACAGCTTAACTTTCCCCGGGGAGAAACTTGGCCTTCACTGGTTGAGTTTATTTAGCGGTTAAGTAGATCCTGATTAAACAGGAGTTGCAGCGAGCGGGACGAGAGGTGCGATTGAATAGTCCCGTTTCTCAAATTTATGTAATAACCATCTTTTGAATTTCTGTCCGTCACAGAAGACTAAAGCACGAGTGTTCCAGCATTGATGAAACAACGCTGGCTCACAGTGTAACACATAATATGATAATTTCGATGGTTTTACCCAACATCTCTAGCATAATGATCAGAGCAGCGCCTGTGAAAGCGTTTCCGACTTGAAGCAATCGATTTTTGAAAACTTTAAAAGAAGTAGTTGTAATAGTTTATAGTTTGCAACTAAAATGTTTTTTCGAGAATGAGAAGTGGGAATAGCATAATTTTTACTTTTTCTTAACTTGTTCGCAGACGTTATTATAGTTTTAATCTATTTTCTTCAACGTTTCGAAACTGGGATCGGTTTGTTGCTCCGGGACTTAATGCGTTACTAATAATAAACACGATTAAGATGTATGTCAGTCTGTTTGTTGAACACCGAAAATAGTACCTTTCTGCGTGTGTAGGTAAATATTTGAAGTTTAAATTTAAAGTCAGTGCCTTTTTAGAGTTTATTAAGATTAAGTTGAAAGATATTGTCAATTACAATAGGTTTTAACAATGTCATCATCAGGTCATTTAGTCTCCACTGCAGGAGCACGACCCTCTCTAATTCACCAGAGGCAAATGGAGGATTTGTCCTACACTCCCCACGCTGGCCAGACGGGTTGGGGAGGCCTGAGGGCCTAGTGTGAGTTTACATCAAACTAGTGAGCGCGTCAAAAAATGACATTAAATGTATGACGGATTGTACAGCGCCACATATTTGTTCCTTAGTTGCCTCCTGATATTTCTTGGAAAGATTGGGAGGAACGGGACTATTCCCACCTCTCGTTCCCACCGCTGCAACTCCTGTGTAGCCAGGATCTACAGCTTGACCGCCAATAACCCAACCAGTGAAGGTCGAGTTTGTTGCGGGGGAAAGGTAAACTGTCATTGGACCCGCAACGAAATTAATCAGAAAAACATAGGAGTTCGAAGTTTCGGAGTAGATAGAGTTCGAAGATTGGGAGTAGTCATATTCTACTATGCACAAAGATGTTTTTGCCTTTGTGATAGACCAATTCGAGGTGAAACTTTGAGGGCCAGTGGCTGAAAATTTTCACATAATCTGTTTGCTAACGTACAACTGTGGTAATCTTAGTAAGTTTATGACAGTTTATGCTTGGATAATTATAATCTGTGTTTCTCGGAAAAAAATATCACTTTGTGCGTAGTAAATTACGAGTAGCACATAATATTATAGGACGAACGCATAACTGTGTTGGTTTTTGGGGTAGATGAGCGGTATTTGGACCAGTAAAACCAGGTTTCAGTTTAATTATATTGTTTAGACGAGTTCTCACTAGCAAATGCATTTTTTTTTATCCACAACGAGCAAGCTCTTGGCCTGTATCTCACCTGATGGTAAGTGACGATCAGGCCGAAGGTGGAAGCGAGCTTCACCTGGAATCCTCAACCACCCTTACCGCAAAAACCGTAGGCATTGCAGAATCCCGCAAATTTTGCTGGGGCAAGGTCCTGTTAATATGTATTACAAAAATATTTTGGGACGTGTAAAAGTGTTTTTTCTTTATTTGCAAACTTAGTGAGAGCAGATAATTTTTAATTAAAATCAGGAATTTGTCAGCAAGATATAAAATATTTTATGTCTTAAGCCTTCATAAAACAGTTCTCACTGGAAATAATTTATAGTCAATGTCACTATACCTTACCTCTCGGAATTTTATTATCTTTCTTATCAGTTAATACTGGATCTTAAGTTATTTAGCACGTCAAGCTACACTATGGTATCTATACGTATGTACAGTCATCGTTAAATAGTTTTTGGCCACATAAAGTGTCACGAAGTTCACAACACGTCTTTGTTACATTTATTATTATTATTGGTTTTTGGGCCTTTATTTGCGCCAGTTCGACCAGGTTTGATCTATTGTGGCAGCCCTTGTGTTTAGAGTTCACTGCTTAGTCCCGTTGAGTCTATAAATTTCCAGATTCTTTGGAGCGTGCTATCTGCTATCTCATCCGGGTGCATGATGTGTCGCCCGAGATGGATACTTCTTTTGCTCATAAGCGGGCCGCATGAGCAAAGAACATACATGCATGGCCGTTTCTTCTTCTGTATAGCAAAATCTGCACAGAGTTTCTTCGGTCATGTTTGTTACATTGAAAGAAAGAAAGAAAGAAACAATTATTGCCATGGACATCACAAAAGACAAAAGATGTAAATAAAAAAAGCAAATAAGACAGAGGTGACATAAAACATATAATGGAAGAGAAAGTAAACTGAGCAGTGCCACCCTGTCGCACAGCGATGTCCATCGCAATGGGACCCCACTCAGCATATGCCGTGGCCCCCTGTGAGGAAGGCCACGACGCTGGTTTTCAGTGTGCCCCATGCCGAGTGGGATTGGAATAAGGTTGTGGTGTCAATTTTTTGCCCACTTTGGGTGTCACGAACTTACTGTAAAATGTGCTATTTCGCAATAACAAGTATAGTCGGATGTGCTGTTGACTACAGTTAACTAATTATACGTGATCTGATTATGGTGATAATATAGTATGCTATTTTGAAATTGTTCCGGCGTTTCTTCTCAGCACTTGCCATTATGCTTGTCTCGAAGCGCCGGTAGGGCCCAAAAGATTAACGCTGGGTTGCACCTTCTTACTTTAATTTTGACAAATGTCAAAAATCTGTCAAACTCCATACAAAAACACCGGTTATCGTTAAAGTTACGGTCCAAAGTTAGGTGGTGCAACTAAGCCTAATGCCCTTTTTCACCATCAATCCCTAATTTTTAAGTGACCCCTATGGTATGGTGGTTTTCATAGGGGTCACTTAAAATTAGGGATTGATGGTGAAAACGGGCATAAGAGACATGTAAAGTGCCCTTTAAGGGCTACACTTTTTTACTGTATTTTGACGTTCATAAGTGCCACTAGTGGTCTAAATTGAGTAAAATATTTTTGATTTGATTTTGATTTTGAACCGACTGCAAAAAGAGGTATTTTTATAAGGATATTTCTTTGAGTAATCATCAATTTTAACCGACTTCAAATACCCGATCGGGCTAACTGCAACACCTCCCCGCGTTCGCCCCGTCCGTACCAGAGCGGCGATGTGACGTCACGGCCGCCAGGTGTACCGGTGTGACTCGACCAGGTTGTACACGATATTTGCGAGTGTACTAAAAATCACCAGCATTCTTTCACTGATTTAATTCTTTTAGTAAAAGTCTAGACACAAATAGTCTGTGATAACAAGTGATAACGATATAATGTGTGTACATAGATACTACTTAAAATCTTCGAGGACAAACATTAAACAAATAATGTCATAGCAAGAATGGTAACAGTTTGAAAAACAATTTGCAATTCATGAAAGAAAATGTTGGAGAAAAAACAAATGACTGCAGGAAACAAAAGAGAATCGATTACAATAAATTGAAACTACTTTGACAGAGTTGGAGCAATAGTTGGCCGAAATTGGAGCCAACATTTGCTAACGTGAAAACGTATAAAAACAAATGCCTACACAAAACAAATGAAGATCGATTAGAATAAATTGGTGGAACCTAATTATCGACCAATTAGACAGAAGTGGTGGCCAATAGTTGGCCAAAATTGGAGCCAATATTTGCTAACGTGAAAACATATACAAATGATTGAAAAGAACTACAAATCCGCGATGGATTTGCAAGAAGAAATAATTGAAAGGAAGGCGAAACATAAGTCTGAGAGGAGACGGTCTAGCATTTTCTCTTTATTAAATATACAGAAGAAATTGAAACGGCAGGCTTCGGAGCCAGGATACTTTGCGTCCAAAAAGTTGAACAGGAAATATTCTGTAGACTCCGCCATTTTGTCGGACTTTGGTAAAACCAATGGGGTTAAAGACTTCATGCTTGAGACCTGTAGCGATGGAGTTTCAGTGTGCAATGGAGGTTGGTTTGCTAGAATAATTATAAAAAAAATGTCCCAAAAAGAGTGTCACATACTTTTTAATCATTGTTTTTGGATTCCCACTGCCGTATAAAGGGTTAAGAGGTTAAACTGATTTGTTAAGAAGATAAAAATTAACAAGTTTGTGATGGTCTTTTAAGGACTTTTTTTTGGATGTTTTTTTATAGTTGATCAAATAAAAAGGGTGGTTTCTACTACTCAAACTACTACTTTTCCTCACCCGATATCAAATACCTACCAAAAAACATTTTTTAGGTATTTTTTAATATTTGAACTTCGGTTCTTTGAGAATAGTTGGTCCATTTGAGCAGTAGAATTAATCTTTTTTGTTGATTCAAGTATAAAATAAATAGATTATTATAGGTTGCTAATTATAATGAATTGATATTAGCTATGTTATTATTTTGGCTAATACTGTTGTTAGTGTGATGACGCCTAAGTGTGTTTTTATTAGATTTTCGAATTAGAGCAAATAAAAAAGGACTGTATTTCAATGAATGTTTTAATGGCGACAAGCATAGATTAAAGAGCTACCACAGACATCTTTTTTTTTTTTTTCTTTTTTGCCAAAGATAATAATAGCATGAACATTCCGCCCACCAAGAACTTAGTTCTTAAATAACACTTTAAACTTAAATATTTAAATGCTTAATATATCAAATTTTACATAATAAGTTTGTCTTAATGTACCTACTTGATACATTTAGCACTGCTATAGGAACATATTTATGCTGTGAATAGATACTAATAACTTAATAATGAACTTAAGTAGGTTTTACAAATATGTAGTTACACAAAACTAAACCGTTAACCAGCATGAACAAAACCTATTTAGTAATTAAACAGAGCTTACTTACTGGACGCTTGAATATACCAGATTTACATTTGACAGATACAACTCTTGTAATGTTATCAGAACCAGGATGTTTTTGTATAATTTTACCTAATAGCCATTTAGCAGGCGGCATATTATCTTCCTTTAAGATTACAATATTACCTATTTCAGGTTCTTTATTTTGTGAATTCCACTTATATCTCTGATTAAGATTACCCAAATACTCTCTATACCACCTATTCCAGAAATGATTAACAATTCTTTGAGTCATCCTCCATCTATCTAAACCCTTATAATTACCATCGACTTCTTGATCAACAATATTTATTAATGGTTCGCCTATGAGAAAGTGGCCTGGTGTCAAAGGCAGGGGATCGTTAGGGTCATCACTAATTAAGCTTATGGGACGCGAATTTAGACAAGCCTCCACCTGTGCCAGGACCGTTGCCAGCTCTTCGTAGGTAAGTGTAGTGTTTCCAAGCATTTTACGCAGATGTGTTTTAGTGCTACGCACGCCCGCTTCCCACAACCCTCCGAAATTGGGTGAGTGCGGAGGTATAAAATGCCAATTTGTGCGCTCTAACACAAGCAGTTTTGCTATCTCTTCAGGAAGTGATGATTTGGCATTATTGAACATATCTTGTATTTCCTTGTCGGCGCCAACAAAATTAGTGCCGTTATCACTCCATAAGTCTTGACAATGGCCACGTCGTGCTGTGAAACGCCGAAAGGCCGCAATGAATGCCTTTGCGGTCAAGTCAGTGACGGCTTCCAAGTGTATGGCTTTAGTAGCCATGCACACAAAAAGACATCCATAGCCCTTATAGGATTTGGCTCCTCTACCTGGTGAAAATCTTATTTGTATTGGCCCAAAATAATCTACTCCTGTAGATTTAAAGGGTTTACTCGGTTTTAATCTTGACTCTGGAAGAAGACCCATCAATGGAGTGTTCTTCCTTGATGTATATCTCAAACAAGTCACACATTCTCTAAAGGTCTTTTTGACACGCTCTTTGGCTTGTATGATCCAGAACTTAGACCTTAAGAAATTAAGCGTAGCTTGCGGACCTCCGTGAGCAGTCTGATGATGCGCATCAACAATTAAAAGCTTGGTAAAATGACTTTTAGCAGGCATAATCATTGGATGTCGCGTATCATAACTTGCGTCTGAATGTGAGATGCGACCTGACACTCTTAAAATTCCCTTTTCATCCAAGAAAGGACATAAAGTGCGCAAAGGACTTTTCTTAGGTACACATCCTTTAGCTTTCAGGTGTTTTATTTCACTCTCAAATTCTATCTGTTGGACTTGTTTAACGCAGATCAATAATGTCTCTCTAAGTTCGTCAACTGTTATAAATTTCGGTAAGTTTAATCTCTCATCTCTTGGTATCTTAACTCTTCTACAGTATGACAGGACCTTTAGTAACCTCGATAAAGAAGAAAATCTCGACCAGATAAAGTCTTCTTCAATGTTGGTTGAAACAGTTAGAGCCTTAACTTTCTCTTCCTCGTGCGTGTCTTCAATTGATGTAGTATTCGTCTCAAGTTTACTCTTCGACAACCACTGCGGGCCCTGCCACCATAAAGGATGTGCAATGAGATCCCTCGGGGTCACACCTCGCGAGGCACAGTCTGCAGGGTTTGATTCTGTAGGTACGTGATTCCATTGTTCAACGTTCATTATATTTAGAATAGTGGACACCCGATTACTCACAAATGTAGTCCACCGAGATGCGCCTCCTCTCAGCCATGCGAGCACGATCGTGGAGTCTGTCCAGCCAAACAAATGCTCTTTGGGTATCTCCATAACCTGCGATACTTCCCATATGAGTTTGGTCGCCAAGGTAGCACCGCACAACTCCAGCCTCGGGATCGTGATTTCCTTCTCTATTGGGGCCACTTTGGTTTTTGCCGTTACCAGGTGAACATGAACATTGTTTGATTCATCGGTGACTCGTATGTAGACAGCAGCTGCGAAGGCTGATTTGGAAGCATCTGAAAACACGTGTAATTCCTGTTTAGAACCTGGTGTAGCGTTAAACCATCTTGGTATTTTCAGTTCCCTCAAATCTGCCAAGCTACTTCTATACTCCAACCACTCACTCAGGATGTCCTCAGGTAAGCTTTGATCCCACAATAGTCCTGATTTCCACAGTGTTTGTATAAATTTCTTGGCGTTAACAACGACTGGAGCAATCCAGCCCTCTGGGTCGTAAAGCTTTGCTACATCAGCTAACACTTTTCTTTTGGTAATCGGTTCCTTGGGATCTGGTAACTCCACTGTGTACACAAAATTGTCTGTTATTCTGCACCAACTCACTCCAAGGACCTTGATGGTCTTGTTCAATTTAATAGGTGTTACTTGCTTACCATTTTGCTCATTTTTATCTTGTATTTTCTCTACTATGTTTTCACAGTTACTATTCCATTTTTGAAGTTTGAATCCACCCAATTTCATTAACCTATTCATCTCATCGTATATTTGTAATGCCTCACTTTCTGTGTTTGCTCCAGTAATTAGATCGTCCATATAATAATCTGTCTTAGTTAATTTGGCTGCTAGCGGATACCTATCTTCCTCTAACTTGGCTAGGCTCTGTAAAGCTTTGACTGCCAGATACGGCGCGCATGCAGTACCAAACGTCAGGCGTAATAACTTGAAGTGTTGGATGGGTTCATTTGAAGTGAATCGCCATACAATTCTCTGAAAATCTGTATGCTCGTCCGCTACACAGATCATTCTATACATTTTGACGATATCCGCGATAAGACATATCTTATGGTTTCTCCATCTCATCAGAATATGTCTTAAATCTTGTTGCAATTTGGGACCAACAAGTAGGTCATCGTTGAGTGATACATTGTTGTCTCCTTTACTCGATGCGTTAAACACGATTCGTAGTTTTGTAGTCTCCTTATCTTCTCTTATCACGGCATGGTGAGGAAGATACACTGCCTTGTTATTCTCCAACTCATGTTCGTAAACCGGTCTCATATGATTTAAAGTCAAATACTCCTGAAACACTTTGTTGTATTCTTCTCTCAGCTTAGGATCTCTCGATAATTTTCTCTCTAATGACTCCAATCTTTTGATAGCAATCTCTTCAGAATGACCATATTTACTTTTAGGATCATCCGTTGCAAATGGCAATCTCACAACAAATCTTCCTTCCTCATCTCTCACTGTTGTTGCTTCAAATATCTTTTCACATAACTTTTCGCTCTCTGTCATTTCCTTTTGTATTGTATTAGGCTCATTCTCCATTTCCCAGAACTTCTTCAATAAGTCATCCTCCTCAATATGTATGTGCATGCTCGTAAAATTAGCTTGTGATGACTCACCGGGCTCTGGTGTCACTTTCCCTGATATTATCCATCCGAATACTGTGTTTTGCGCCATCAGGCTCCCTTCAGTCTGCTTGATTACTCCTTCCAGTATTATTTCACTATAAACGTCTGCTCCAAGTAAGACCTCTATCTTCCCTGGCGTTGCATAGGTGGGGTCAGCCAATGGTAGGTTATCAATATCTGACCACGATGGTGTGCTGAGTTGTGTAGCTGGAAGCAAAGATGTTAAGGAATGTAACACATATGCATTTACTTGGATAACACGTTGTGGATTATGGCGTGACACAAGGTGAAGTGAAACTGAGTGTTTAATTCTAAAAGAACCATCCCCCAACCCTGACACCCAACCACTTACAGGTTTACGTGATAAACCAAGTAACTGTACTGTGGCCTCAGTCACAAACACGTCACAGCCTAAGTGTGTTTTTACTAGATTTTCGAATTAGAGCAAATAAAAAAGGACTGTATTTCAATGAATGTTTAATGGCGACAAGCATAGATTAAAGAGCTACCACAGACATCTCTTTTTTTTTCTTTTTTGCCAAAGATAATAATAGCATGAACACCCACGGAGCTGGGGTTGCCATACTGTTAAGACATTTTCAAGACTCTCCTAACTCTAAAAAAAATATTGAACAGAATATTTTGTGTAAAATGTGTGCCGTTAAATGCGTGGTGCTTTGAGATTTCAATTTCCGATCCTTTTTCTAAGTTTCTTTTTTGTACAGCAAAATGTAAATAGATTATTTNGGTTTACGTGATAAACCGAGTAACTGTACTGTGGCCTCAGTCACAAAAGAAGCCTGAGACCCCTGATCAAGTAAAGCTCTTACAGTATGTTTACAATTAGTTGAACTAAATACCTTAACTCTAGCCGTTGCTAACAGGACACAGGTTGGCTGAAGTTTGCCTCTAGAAAATGCTGTAGTAATATGGGTACCACCTGATGATGTACTCGTTCTCTCACATTGGTAATCTCTAGATGTCACTGTGGCTCCATCTCTCTCGTTCGCTGCAGTAGTTTGCTGATTGGAATCTCTGTTCTCTCTCTCATAATGTAGGGTAGTATGGTGACGACGTCCACATCTCTTGCAGCTCGTTGGAAGACGACACTTCGCGACGGAATGTGTAGGTGATAAACAATTGAAGCATAGCTTGTTACTTTGCACAAAATCTTGTCTTTTGTTGGGTGTTAACAATCCATATTCTTTGCACTGATTAAGGAAATGGTTTTCTTGACACATTTTACATTTGTTCTCAATAGAAGCATGAAAAGCTTTAGGCTTAGCAGCTGGTGTGGTGCGTGCTGGTATGGTGCGTGTCACATTTGTATCAATCATCTCTAAAGACCTGAATCTGCTCTCTAAATATTCTCGTAATTGTTCCCACGTCGGTAGCTCATCACTGTTTACGGAATTCATATGTTGTTCCCACTGTTTGATTGATTCAGTGTCTAGCTTTGACACGACTAAAAACACTATAATCGCATCCCATTCACTCGTGCTAACACCTATGTTATCCAACGACTTCAAACATGTTGATGTAGTATCCAGCAATTGTTTAATCAAATTAGCCGACTCATTATTCAGTTTTTTCACTGAAAACAAATTTCTCAACACTGCATTACTTATGTATCTCTTATTGTTATAGCGTCTCATCAGCTGTTTCCAAGCTTCCTCGTAGTTCGCATCTGTAGTAGAAAAGTTACTCAATAGGTTTTGTGCTTCACCCGATAAATTACTCTTCAAATAATGAAGCTTTTCTACTGCCGTAATATGTTTATTTTGATGTATTAATGATGAGAACATGTCGAAAAATGTTTGCCACTCTTCATACTTTCCACTAAATGTCGGTAATGTAATACGAGGTAGTTTTAAGTCGCATTGACCAAGATTTTGGGTAACCACTGGTGTTGTCGTTGTTGTCTGTGTAGACGTTAGTAATGATTGTAGATTCTCTCGCAACAACGCCTTATACTGAATGTATAGTTCCTCGAAATTTTCATATTTATCTTCAATGAAGTACGGGTGGTTGCGGTCCGTCAAAGTTTCGGACACTATTGCCTTATGTCCTTCCTTGAAGCTATAGTATAAACTCTCTAGTGATTCCAGTCTAGCTTCCAAATATGGTCTTTTTAACCTATCTCTAGGTGATTTCTTGAAATTTGTTTCCGCTTTCACTAAATTGTTTTTGCACTCATCTTGTAATGCAAACAACACTTTTAGTTTTCCAGAGTCTTTCGCCATCTTGAAATTGCAACAACCAAACGTAGGAGGTTATAGTTCACTGTGAATTGCAATGCTCGCTCAATATTGTAATTGCCAAGTTCACAACACTAGAAACCCAGTTTGTATAGTAATCGTTCGTATTGTAGATAATTCGCACTGATAACTGAACTTGCAAAAACCGGCAGCCGAGATTTCTTTGCATTCCAATGCACACCACATGCGCAGTTTATTGTTCACATAAATTGTTCACTCAAAAAACTCGGCCCACCGCTCGAAACACACTTTTTCTTGTAGTTCNTGTAATTGTCAAGTTCACAACACATTAGAAACCCAGTTTGTATAGTAATCGTTCGTATTGTAGATAATTCGCACTGATAACTGAACTTGCAAAAACCGGCAGCCGAGAGTTCTTTGCATTCCAATGCACACCACATGCGCAGTTTATTGTTCACATAAATTGTTCACTCAAAAACTCGGCCCACCGCTCGAAACACACTTTTTCTTGTAGTTCGGCTCGTATCCGGCTCGATTTGGACCAAATGTTAGTGTGATGACGCCTAAGTGTGTTTTTATTAGATTTTCGAATTAGAGCAAATAAAAAAGGACTGTATTTCAATGAATGTTTTAATGGCGACAAGCATAGATTAAAGAGCTACCACAGACATCTCTTTTTTTTTTTTCTTTTTTGCCAAAGATAATAATAGTGTTGAATATTGGGATGGTCAGTAATCTGTCAATTCTGTAACAATATCGCACCGGGTGCGATTGTGTTCAAATACATGCCTAGGGTTGAGATACAGCAACTTTTTTTGGGAAATATTTTCGCTTTCGCTTATGTTGGCATTTCTGGAGTGAAAGAGAAACACATATTCGAAAATACGGCATCTGTAAATGAAACGCCTATTTGAGATAGAAATAAAGAAAGAAATAGACGAAAGGATAAATAGAATAATTTCACCAAATTCTGTGGACCAAATGATCTTAGGGCTATATTTCACCGGGACACCATGGCGGCGCAACCAGTCGCCGGCTACCAACAAAATGTATACAGCTTTGCGCAACCAAACGGACACCAGGTGAGTAACTCTCTATAGAGCTGTATACATTTTGTTGGTAGCCGGNTCAATCATGGTATACCTACATAAATATTAATAATTCGTCCTAATAAATAAGTAGGTAATTAGTAATTATTTTTCTACGTTTTAGTGTAGATTTTTTTTCATTGAATGAATTTAAATCGTCCGCAGTCTATTCTATGTATTTCTATGAAAAAGCATCCGTTGCTAGCGACCACGTCGTCTGCAAGTTTTTATAAAGAAATACATAGAAAGTAGTGTGTCACAGCGACGCCGATGCTGCTGCTATGTGGAGTCAGCAACGAACTTACCTCTAAAGGGTGGTCTTGCGGCTCAATCCGTCTATCAAGCGTCTCTAATACTTAATTGTATAACTTATAATTAAATAATCAATTAACTTCCTTTCCTAACTAAATCGTAATTTCTAGTAGGTACGTGTAATTGTTTGCTATTGCTTTATCGCAGGCGTTTTTAAACTTCATACTATTTTGTACTGTCAAAATCACTTACCTTCCAGTCGCCGCGCGATACGCACTATTGTAATACATTTTCAAATAATACGAAATAGTCATCAAACCTGAGTTTTATTGGCTCCGCGAATATCAGCGAAGACAGGTGGTCACCCTAACCTGAGCTCCATGAGCACATATTTGTCGCCGGCCCGCAAACCGCAGCAATCCCTCCATTATATGACAGCAATAACCCTTAAATTCTGCCGTAAAAAAGTTTCCAAATATATCGCGGTTTACAGACAGGGAAGGATTTTAAATGTGAGGTACGGGACATGGTACTAAATATAAATATAAATCGGTAACAAAGGGTTGACAAAGGTGACAGAGTCTCTCTTATAGTAACTTCTTCTCAATGCCTTTTTGGAGTATGTATGTGTAAGTATTGTCTTTGAAAAAAGGGAATTAAGAAATAATTTTGAATCGAATTTAAACCCTAAATCAGATCAAAACATAACATAATGAATATATTTAGAGCATTGTTTGATAATAATTCAGACGTATCTCCTAAAATTAATTGCTAAGTAGGTACTAATTTTGTCTGCTCTAAATGCTGATCCAGCATAACTTCAATCTATGCTTAAACACCATAAGTAACCACCATCATTCCACAACTACCCTCTTGTCTGTGACGCGGAATGAGGGCCCTTGAGGCGGCCCTGTGCGCGCGCAGTTGACTTATAACACAGAATACAGAAGGTATACCTAGCTTGAAAGCTTGTGTATGGACAGTCTCATCAGAGTGTACCTGACATAGTGATCTATCAACGCACAAGCCAAACCACTGGACGGATCGAGCTGAAATTTGGCAAGCAAGTAGATGTTTTGACGTAGGCATCCGCTAAGAAAGGATTTTACGAAACTCCACCCCTAAGGGGGTAAAACGGGATCCACGCGTACGAACTCGCGGGCGGCCGCTAGTTTAAAATCAGAGGCCACATTATGAAGGTTGATGTGCTATTCTCGCCTGTACTTAATGTTTCATCCCTCCCTACACTGGGTTGCATGCAGCGTCAGGGCTGTTTCCTCTCAGTATTTTATGCTCACAGTAAGAGCTCATAGAATCATCGTGAACGCAGAAGGGCCACTCGTATAAATCATAATACAAATATTGCTAGAAAGACACAGTTTTTACCGGCCAAGCACGCTGTCAACGTAACAATTGAATTATTCACACGTTACTGCCAATAACTAATTATTTGAAGCGAAACCAGAGCATAACCCATAAAATAGAATCATTATTTCAAAGAAAACGGTTGATTCTGGTTCAAAAATATCTTTCATATTTGAAAGATTCAGAAGAGAAAATTCTGCTGCACTATCCATTCTTTGGCATGCCCGGCTGCCTACAGAGGTACAGTGACGTACGCGAGCGTATGTGAAATTNTTTCAATGAATGTTTAATGGCGACAAGCATAGATTAAAGAGCTACCACAGACATCTCTTTTTTTTTCTTTTTTGCCAAAGATAATAATAGCATGAACATAACTAATTACGGAAACAAGGAATCATGCTACATATTACACCTAATTAAAATGTAATTAATACAATAAATTAGTAATTAATATTAGCAACGCTATTTAGAAAGATAATACGAATGTTTTGTTTTAAAACAACACATAGCTTATATGCATATTATGCGCGGTGAACTATCAACGCACAGTCCAAACCACTGGACGGATCGGGCTGAAATTTGGCATGCAGGTAGATGTTATGACGTAGGCATCCGCTAAGAAAGGATTTTACGAAACTCCACCCCTAAGGGGGTAAAACGGGATCCACGGGAGTCTTTAATAAAATGCTAATAAATAGCTAGTTTAAATTCCCAGTCGCGTTTGCACTTAAAATAGAATAAACTTGATCCTGAACGTAGCCTCGGCCGCCATTTGCAATGCGATAGCGTCCCTGGGGAGCGGCTAGATAAGGTCTTTCAGATCCAGATGTTATTTATAGAAGTCTAAAGGCTATTTGTAAATTAATTTGACATTTCATTCAAAGCCGCAACTCGGGTTGGTATCGATTTTTGGTCTAATGAAGTATTTATGAGTAAAAGGGTTGTATTAACCGATTTGTTTCATAATTACAGAGAACTACCATAACTTCAAAGCCAGTCTAAAAATGCTGTTCGTGCTTTTCAGCTAAATGACGTGTATGCAGGACAAAGACGGCCCTCAAGGATTTCTACAACGACCGGTTCTGTACTGCCCACATCCAGCGACCTTTACTAGATCATCGGTCCACCGAGTCTATAACCGAGTGGGAGAATTGCCTACACTACGTCTTCCGGTCCACGGTCGCTACATAGTTACGATATACAATACCAATCCTTTCTATGTAGTTATGTTTAAGGTTTCTATTTACTTTTAGGTAACTAACAAAACAATATGAAGGATACAGATAAAATTCTTTTATTTTTAATGAACTGTGGCATCTAATGTAATTTGTAATAGGTGTTATTTTCCAGCATATTTTTTAATCTTTTTTTTTTATTTGACAAGAGGCAAACGAGCAGACGCATCACCTGTAGGCCTAAGATGCGCGCCGCGATAAGCGGTTATCACGCCATTTTATCGATTTTGCCCATACATTTTGACGACGATAAAACTTATCACGGCGCGCATCTTAGGCCTACTGATGGTAAGTGATTACCGTCGCCCATAGACACCCGCAGTACCAGGGGCGTTACAGGTGCGTTGCCGGCCTTTAAGGTGAAGATACGCTCTCTTCTCGAACGTTATGTGCCAGAGACTGTACTAAAGAGTATCTGTCTATAAATTATATCTATTTTCTCTGACTACTGCATCAATCAGGCAAAACAAACGGCTCACCGGAATAGGTTTCTCCTTAGATCTTCAATTATAGCACTGACGGCAAGCAAGAAGCCTTAAAAGCACTAGAAATGTATCGATTCCACAAACTAGTTTGTAAAGTTACTTGTTCGTGGATGTAGGGAAAATACAACAGTCAGTCTCAGTAGGGTGCGTTGGGTAATGAAGTTTGAACAAGTGGATCTAATGGGATAAACACCTACTTCGGGAATTAAAGAAAAAATAGAATACATTCTAAGGACTAAAGAATCTTAATTGTGCTTACTTAAGTAATTAGAACTAGGCTAAGTGGGGGTGGCTTTTCAGAACAAACAAGGTAGAGCTCGTTTTGTCCATAGAAATTGACAACGTCACTTATTCAATTGAGGTGTCACAGTAGATTTCTCTTGATGCAAGTGCTCTATGTAGTAAGTATTATTTCTACGAATTGTTGGTTAGGCGGCCTAAACTGATAATAAGTATCAACGAATTACAATATAATATAATATATTGTCTTTTATCTTTTGAATTAAGAACGCTTGGTAAAATAAAATAAAAGTATTCATTGCTTTTCATCATATTTCTTGTCATTAAAACTCCTTGTTTTTGACTGGCTGTTTTCGTTAAACTTTTGTACTCAGTCACAGGAGTCCGGTCACGACTAGTCGGGATGGTTTTAAATCCATTTGAAAATAGACTCTCAAGGCAAAACCTTTAAGTTGTATTTTCATTAACTGTGCCTTTCAAAGTTAGGTTACCTAACTTGAACGCTAGCCCTGAGTGAGTTGGTGAACTTTAAAAATAGGTTTGTTTTGTTTATTTTTGTATTGGGTGGTTGTGCTACATTCCTCTACAGTTCCTTTTGTATTTTGTTTTCTAGTAAAATCGATACTATAGTTCAATTTTATATGTATGTGGTCTGTAAAATATCATTTCTGCTAGCATGTATTCACTTTATTGCTCGCACATGTTATTATAGCAAAAGTACAAAATAGAGAGCTTAATGCCAATTACCAACCCCATTCTTTACCAGATTCTTACATGGGGACTGAATTTCTTGCACTGATCTTCTCAGCACTGGTCCGTATACACATCTGCAGCGGTTCTGCATACTAAAAACAAGAGTGTCAATATCTTGTTGTGGAATACTGTCCCAAGTCCTGTACTATCCCGAAGCAGTGGTAGGGATGAAGTAATATTGGGACGTGTAAAAGCGCTTTTTAAAAGCCTGTTTGCAGAAAATAAATTACTTTTATGACTTTATTCAATTACTACAAATTAGAAATTAAAGCCTGACTCGATTGTAATAAATTTACTGGAATTTGTTATTTCATCATAGCTCATCAAAAGTTACAGAGTTTGATTATCAAATTACGAGGAATATGATCTTTCATTAATTAAAACTTCAATGAAATTTTGTTGTTGTTTATTCGCAATTTAGGAGATGATAATAATTTATTTTAATGTTGTTTATGTATCAAATTGGTAAGTAAAATAATTATTTCCTTATTGAATGTTGGACTTAAAAAAGGCCTCAAGCTGGGCTTCAGTGGTGTTTTGATCAGTGTTTTGTTTTCTGTTTAAAATAAACCACTAATATAAATTATTTCAAAGTAAAAAATAATTATTGTATTGTACCTATTTTAACTAACTTTTATTGTTGTTAAACTAATTTTAATTACAAATAAAATTGTCTGAAAGTCTTAACTATTTTTTAATCAAGTAAAATAGTTCATAACAATAGTAATTGACAAAATATAAAATGAAGACAAATGTAGCTGCTACTTCCTTAAAACAATTATCAAATTAAACACTTTAAACAATAAATAATGTTCAAACCAGATCAATTATATTAGCACGTCAAACCAGCCGATTAGAGAGTGAGCGAATAATAAATATAATGTAATAATACCCGTAACTAAGTGTTGTAACACTTCTGGGGCAATATATTACGTCGCACTTCCGTTTTTATTGTGGCTCTGTAGTAGGGTGGTCCTTATTTTTCGACTTTTGAATTCTCCCCGGGGCACTTTATATACCTCTAAATATGAAATTAGCTTTTTTTGTTTTTTTTTTGGTTAAGATTTAGAGGTCGCTACCAGCTGTCAAAATATTTTCAAAAGCTTTGAAGATCTTAAATCATGGTTTCATAAATGTTTTATTTAAGTGTTTATAACACTTTTTAGGTGCAAATGAACATCGCATAGATAGAATANTCATTTAATGCGTTTGATTCTATTTCTAAAATTTTATAAAGTCTAAGGGCTATATTTCACCGGGACACCATGGCGGCGCAACCAGTCGCCGGCTACCAACAAAATGTATACAGCTTTGCGCAACCAAACGGACACCAGGTGAGTAACTCTCTATAGAGCTGTATACATTTTGTTGGTAGCCGGCGACTGGTTGCGCCGCCATGGTGTCCCGGTGAAATATAGCCCTTAGACTTTATAAAATTTTAGAAATAGAATCAAACGCATTAAATGATTGGTGGTGTCAACACGTCTTTTACTATTCTGTTACATTTCTGACCATCCCAAGTGTTCCGTACCAGCTAGCTATCACTGCACACTCCTCCCTTCTGCCCTCAGAGCTAGCGGGCGTGGCATCGGACTCTGACAGCGAGGCGTCCAGAGGGATGAACGCTCCCCGGGAGGACACCGCCTCCAGGAAGCATGACGTCATCGCCCGGATAGAGAGCTGCTACGTGGAAGACCCCAACCGGGATACGGGAGCGGTGAGTAGAAAAAATGATTGGCATTAACAGGTCATTTAGTCTACACTGCAGGATCACGACTTTCTGTAATGAGGGCTATCGTTTTTATACTTAACAGTTGGCACCTCTGGCGATTGACAGGACCTTACTCTACAGTGGCGCCATCTTGATGAGTGCAAATGCGATAGTCCTCCTACCACTTTAGCGCTCACCAGTTGGTGCCACTGTCTTCGCTACTAGCAAGTGACAGGACCTTAATCTACAGTGGCGCAAACTGGTGAGCGCTAAAACGATAGCCCTTATTCAGCAGTGGCAAATGGAGTCTCACTCGAAAGCATGACGTCATCGCTTAGAGAGCTGCTATATGTCGAGGACCCGAACAGAGATACTTGAGCATCGAGTCATCACCATCAGGTTTTAGGCTCAGTTTTCTTTTTTTATCCACATCGGAGAAGTTCTTTGCCTGCGTCTCTCAAGCGATCCACTTGGAATCCTCAACCATAGAGGAGCTGGAAATCCCACCAAAATGGAGAAGAGAGTTGTCTTTGAAAAACCGATCTTTCCGAACCAAAACAGAACGGAGAGGTGAAGTGCAAATAAAGAAATCTCATTGGTTGTTCAAACACATATCCTCACTTCTTCGACTTGGTGTAGTGGCCTCGGACTCTGACAGCGAGGCGTCCAGAGGGATGAACGCTCCCCGGGAGGACACCGCCTCCAGGAAGCATGACGTCATCGCCCGGATAGAGAGCTGCTACGTGGAAGACCCCAACCGGGATACGGGAGCGGTGAGTAGAAAAATGATTGGCATTAACAGGTCATTTAGTCTGCACTGCAGGATCACGACTTTCTCTAATGAGGGCTATCGTTTTTATACTTAACAGTTGGCACCTCTGGCGATTGACAGGACCTTACTCTACAGTGGCGCCATCTTGATGAGTGTAAATGCGATAGTCCTCCTACCACTTTAGCGCTCACCAGTTGGTGCCACTGTCTTCGCTACTAGCAAGTGACAGGACCTTACTCTACAGTGGCGCTAAAACGATAGCCCTTATTCAGCAGTGGCAAATGGAGTCTCACTCGAAAGCATGACGTCATCGCTTAGAGAGCTGCTATGCCGAAGACCCGAACAGAGATTGAGCATCGAGTCATCACCATCAGGTTTTAGGCCCAGTTTTATTTTTTTATCCACATCAGAGAAGTTCCTTGCCTGGATCTCTCAAGCTCTCTCTCAAGGATTCCAAGTGAATACTTGGAATCCTCAACCATAGAGGAGCTGGAGAGTCCACCAAACCGGAGAAGAGAGTTGTCTTTGAAAAACCGATCTTTCCGAACCAAAACAGAACGGAGAGGTGAAGTGCAAATAAAGAAATCTCATTGGTTGTTCAAACACATATCCTCACTTCTTCGACTTGGTGTAGTGGCCTCGGACTCTGACAGCGAGGCGTCCAGAGGGATGAACGCTCCCCGGGAGGACACCGCCTCCAGGAAGCATGACGTCATCGCCCGGATAGAGAGCTGCTACGTGGAAGACCCCAACCGGGATACGGGAGCGGTGAGTAGAAAAATGATTAGCATTAACAGGTCATTTAGTCTCCACTGCAGGAGCACGACTCTCTCTAATATAAAAGTTGCAAATAGAGGAGCTTCCACTGACCGTATCCAGGTGCTTCTCTAATTTAACAGAGGCAAATGGAGGATTTGTCCTACACTCCCCACGCTGGCCAGACGGGTTGGAGGCCTGATGTTCGCATATTTGTCCCTTAGTCGCCTCTTACGACATCCACGGGAAGAGTGGGGGTGGTAAGACTGTTATAATAAGGTATGATTACTATGCCAGATGTCGCGGGTTCGATACTCGCTGAGTATAAACATTTGCGGGCATAACCATACCAGTTTTATGGTATTCGGTACCCGTAATAAGTTTTGCTTAATTTGGAACTAAGAATGTAGTGTGAAATGTCCAAGGATATTTATTTATAAGTTTTTGTATTTATAGATAATAACAAAAGAGTGCGTAATATAATACCGGAAAAAATACGCGTATACAATGCGTAGTAATCGCTCACACAATCGTTTGACAGATCAGTGAAATCAATAACCGTAAACGTACAAATTGTGACGTTTGAAACTGACATTGACGAATTGTTTGACATTGAAAAATACTGTCTTACGATCGGAAAAAACATGTTTTCCCTTAGACTATTAACACTTAGATGGATAGTTGTAGTGAAACAAGCGCTTCGTCTAAAATGGGGCAAAAATTATGTTGATTTGATGGGGGCTGCGTTTACTTTAACCTGACCTTTTTGACAGACCGCAAATTTTGTTTTACCACCTGTCATCAGCTTTGTACTGGAGCAGTCGAACCTTAACTTCGAGCTCCTCCTATGTTCTTCTGATTAATTTCGTTGCGGGTCCAATGACAGTGTAACTTTCCCCCGGGACAAACTTGACCTTCACTGGTTGGGTTATTGGCGGTCAAGCTGTAGATCCTGGCTACACAAGAGTTGAAGCGGTGGGAACTAGTATCGTAAAATGCATCCAGTGGGGTAAATTCTTTAGTAGAAGAAGTGTCGAATTGATGACTATAATGTTTTTCTTATCCACAACGACGAAGATCTTGGCCTGTATCTCACCTGATGGTAAGTGACGATCAGGCCGAAGGTGGAAGCGAGCTTCACTCGGAATCCTCAACCACAGAGGAACTGACTATCTTACCTCTAACTGCCGGAACACAAGTTACAGACTTAGGTAAGATGGTGTTAGATAGCCAGGCAAACTCAGAACAAAACCGAACAGAAAAATCTGCCCCCACTGGGAATCGAACCCGGGACCTCTGCGTCTGAAGCAGGTGGTCTTACCACTTGACCACAGAGGCGGTTATGTAATGAACTTTCTTCTCATCTTCCAGGCAGGGGAGTTGGTAGAAGAAGTGGCAGAAGAAAACAAGTCCCTACTCTGGTTCCTGCTGAAGCAAGTCCGGCCTGGCATGGACCTCAGCAAAGTGGTCCTACCCACGTTCATACTGGAACCCCGCTCGTTTCTGGACAAACTGTCCGACAATTACTACCATGCGGATATACTGGCGCAGTGAGTATAGTAGTATTTATTTAGCTGATCCGAACCGTGATGTTTTAGTAACTCATCATCATCATCAACAGCCCTTTATAGTCCTCTGCTGGACTATGAGCCTCCTACACCATAGTAGAGGGTTTTGCCATAATCCCCATGCTTAGCAGGCGGGTTGTGGATCGCAGTATAAAAGATCGATGTTTTTCAGAGAGCGTAACTTTTACGGTGGCTTTTTCTGTATATTCAATAGACTGTAATTCTACTTACGTTATACTCGTACCATAAAATCTGATTTTTATGTATAATATTTGGGCAATGTTAGAAGTTGTTTCCACATCAGGCAGACAGTTTTGACAGTTCCAACTCCTTGCCAGACAGTTTTTTTGGGATAGCTGCCAAAGCCACGATGACCCAAACTTCATGATTCACCAACATTCCATCCTATATTGGGAGCATACGCTGACAAACTTTCAGCTTTTATAAAATGACGTAGGTCTGGCGTTCACCAGCTCTTAGTCTAGTACGTACTTCTGCAAGAAAATAAAAACATGAAAATGATGTTGTCATATCTCTAAAATTTTCTCTTTCTCTTCTTCCAGAGCGCAAAACCAAGAAGACCCGTACACAAGGTTCAAGTCAGTTCTCCGGTGGTACCTGTCAGGCTTGTACCGCAAGCCCAAGGGGCTCAAGAAGCCTTACAACCCCGTCCTGGGGGAGACTTTCCGCTGCTGCTGGCGCCACCGCGACGCGGACAGCCGGACATACTACGTGGCGGAGCAGGTGCGCACTAGCCCGGACATTCCGGACACATCCCGGACACTCCGGACACTAGCACGGACACTCCGGACACTAGCACGGACACTCCGGACACTAGCACGGACACTTCGGACACTAGCCCGGACACTCCGGACACTAGCCCGGACACTCCGGACAATAGCACGGACACTCCGGACACTAGCCCGGACACTAGCACGGACACTCCGGACACTAGCGCCGGATACTAGCTCCAGACACTCGCGCCGGACACTCGCGCCGCACGCTAGCTCCGGACACTAGGTGCGGGATACTAGGCGCCACCGCGTTTCCCGAGTTTCCCACTGAAAATCAATTTCGGAATTATTATTATTATTTATTATTATTATTACGCTTTTGACTGCAAAAACAGTCAAAAGTGGTTGAAACTGATGCTCTTGGTCAATTACTTTTGACTGATTTTTCCAGTCAAGTGTTTTTTTTTTTACCGATAAACCATATGCTAGATGAGTGGTTCTTAACCTTTAAGTCACGAGGGACCATGTTACCAAATTTCTGTCTTGTCAGGGACCACATATTTTATTACGATGTCTTCGAGGACCACTTGGAATGCCTCCAGGGACCACTGGTTAAGAACCACTGTGCTAGATCCATTGTAACACAGCTGTTTGTTCACAGGTGTCCCACCACCCACCGGTATCTGCTTTCTACGTGTCCAACCGCAAGGAGGGATACGTCATAGAGGGCAGTCTGCTGGCTAGATCCAAGTTTTACGGTGAGTTAACTGTGTTATATCTTGCTACCACCTACTACAAAACTTAAAGGAGAGAGAGAGAGAGAGTTACAGAGCCTTTACATGTCTCAAAATCTTTTTGCCCTAGCGGCACTTCGAGACAAATATTTGGCAAGTGCTGGCTTTCCAAGGCGAGAGTGAATAGGCACTTACAGGGCAGATATGTACCATCCTAGACTGCATCCCACTTAACATCAGGTGCGATTGTGGTCAAATACCTGCCTTGTTAAGCATAAAAATAAAAAAAGAAGTGCCGCAACAAACTGCCGTGGCATTATCGGCCGTTTGGTGTAGTGGTTCGAAACGGACTCCAATGCCGAGCGGTCCCGGGTTCGATTCCCAGCCGGGCAGAAATAATTGAAATGATGAATTTTAATTTCTGTTACGGGTCTGGGTGTTACTTTGCATAATATGTAATGTATTTAAAAAGTATGTAGTATATCCGTTAATCTAGCGCCCATACCACAAGCATATTAGTTGCTTACTTTGGGGCTAAAGCCTGGTCCGTGAGCACGTAGAATTTTGTCTAAATTATGTTGCTGTCGCGTTCGCACACTCACTGCGCGCGCCCGTCGCACAATCGCGACAGCAATATAATTACGCGCGAGCGATAAGGATGGGTAGCTTGGGGTCATTGGACAAAATTCTACGTGCTCACGGACCAGGCTTTAGCTGGCGCTGTGTGAAATTGTCCAAAGATATTTATATACTCAGTCATCATTGTCTGCCGGTATCTAACCTATCTATGTTTCCCAGGTAACTCAACGTCGGCCATCTTGGAAGGCTGCGCGCGAGTGCACCTACTATCTTGGGGGGAGACTTACGTCACCACCGCGCCCTACGCGCACTGCAAGGGCATCGTCATCGGCACGCTCAGCATGGAGCTGGGAGGCAAGGTAAACTCATCATCATCATCATCATCGTCGTCAGTCGTACCAGGCCTGTTCATCTCCGCGAGTTTACATCGAAAACAAAACACGTACGATGGCCCACCTACAGGATACTATTCGACAAGGCCTCACATACGAGCGAACATTGACTCACGCACGCGTATTCTTGTGTATGATGGAAGAAAATAAAGAAAATGTTGTACTAAATACTGTGCAGTATTTAACTGCCTAAATAATAATAAAAACACAGAATGTACTTTTTTAAGTTGCCTCAAGACACTAAAAGTTAAATAAGTAGTTAATATTATTCATGATAATTCATGCTAAATCATGTATTTCTCTCGCCATTTTTCGCAGTTTGACACCTCACGTCACATCATTTTACCGAAGTCAGCCCTATAGCTTCGGCGCAGTGCCGATCACAGACGCTTGTCAACAAAATGGTGCTTGACTCTTGAGACAAGCTAAATTACACCATATTTTAATGACATTGAGCTTACATTTTTTAAATACCTTCGCGAAGTAAAACTTCTGTGCGTAGTACTTATTATTATTCTGTGGTCGTACCCGGCTTCTATCCTGAGGCCGTATACAGAAAGAAAGCTGGAAACTTATAAGCGCTTACCGGCGCTTGACAGCGCTGGTAACCCGCGCAGGAAAATATATGAACGCGCGCTGATAAGCACTGAACGGCGCCGACAAGTTTCAACACGCGCTGGACGCTGCCATATAAAATGCCATTCAACTTGCTTCCTTTGTGAACGAACGGATCAGCGATGACAAGCGCTGATAAGCGTTTATAAGTTTCTAGCTTTCTTACAGTATACGGCCTGGGGCGGGGCAAGACATACCCGGCTTTTGACCTAGGGCGGGGCAAGTCATACCCGGCTTCTGTCCTAGAGCGGGGCAAGTCATACCCGGCTTCTGGCCTGGGGCGGAACAAGTCATTAAGTCAGGTTTTGCCGATTGGTAGCGGCATGCATCCAGCGCCTTTCTTCTACCTTTATGATGTCGTCGGTACACCTTATGGTTAGACGTCACACGCTACGTTTTCCGGTACGTGACCTCTACACTAGAATCTTGCTGCCCCATCGGCCGTCAGTTCTGCGTGCTATGTGCCCTGCCCATTGCCACTTCAGCTTGCTAATCCGTCGGGCTATGTCAGCGACTTCAGTTCGTTTACGTTTCACTTTTTGTAATAATGCTGAATAATTCTAACCTAACCTTGTTATTAATAAATTTATTTTAATTACAGGTACACGTGGTGTGCGCAGATACTGGTTACCACGCGGACGTTGAATTCAAATTGCGGGTAAGTTTTTTAAACAGTCAAATGGCTAGGGATTTTAAAGTTTGTTGGGTAGGGTTGCCAGGTGTCCGGCTTTAGCCGGACATGTTTGGCTTTTTACGGTCGTGTCCGGCCAAAAATTGTCTTGTCCGGCCTGTCCGGCTTTTGTTAGGCTTTTTATGTGGTTGCCGCACCAGGCGAAAGTCGAGCTACAGAATAATATCAAGCGCACGCATCAGGATGTTGGGCAACGTTGATGATGATAGAATTCACTCGTAAGCTTTGACACTAATTGCACCCCCCTTCCCACCCCCGTGACATGTCCGGCTTTTAGGGTAAAATATCCGGCCAAATAAAGCACAGAGTCCGGCTTTTGTGTTTTAGGACCTGCCAACCCTAGTCGGGTTGTTTCGATTGTATTCTACCTAATTTCGACTGGGCTCTTCCATCTGAGCTACCCTGATAGCTCAGATGGAAGAGCAGTCAGCCGGCAAGCGAAAGGTCGTGGGTTCGATTCCCGCCTTAGGCAATTCGATTTTTCAAGTTATATATAACTAGCTTTTCGCCCGCGTGGAATTTTGTCTGTCACAGAAAAACTTTATCGCGCGCGTCCCTGTTTCAAAAACCGGGATAAAAACTATCCTATGCCCTTTCCCGGGACTCAAACTATATCTATGCCAAATTTCATCAAAGTCGGTTCAGTGGTTTAGGCGTGAAAGCAAGACAGACAGACAGACAGTTACTTTCGCATTTTTATAAATGCGAAATTAGCTAATATTATTATTAGTAAAGCCTGGTCCGTGAGCACGTAGAATCCCGTCCAATGACCCCAAGCTACCCATCCTTATCGCTCGCGCGTAATTATATTGCTGTCGCGACTGTGCGACGCGCGCCCGCAGTGAGTGTGCGAGCGCGACAGCAACATGATTACGTGCGAGCGACAAGGATGGGCAGCTTGGGGTCATTGGACGGGATTCTACGTGCTCACGGACCAGGCTTTATGGATTTTGATTGTATTCTAACACCAATATTTCAATCCACAGTCGTTCCTAGGCGGCTCAGACCAGACCAACGCCATATCTGGCCGCATAAAGAAGGGGAAAGACACCATAGCCACCATAGAAGGCTACTGGGACGGCAAGATCGACATCAAAGACAAGAGGACTGGGGTGAGTTATTACAGCAAAACAGAAAATTAAAAAATAATTTTGGTTCTATACGAGGGCATAAGGTTTTGTGAGCGGCCTCAACTTTCGATGAACGATTTATACTCGTACGAGGGCATTAATAGAGTTCAAATTGCACTGATGAAAGCATTAGCTATATTTTTTTTACAATTATTGTATTGTAATTATTTACGAGGCTAGTTGTCATGAATTTGTACTCTATTGGTGTCGTCTTACCTACAGAACCTTTATGCCCTCGTATAGGTCGTTCAACAAAGGTTGAGGCACACAGGCACACTTACACTAGTGTAATATTTGAATAGATCAAAAAATTATAAAAATGAATTTTGAACCTTATTATCAAGCAGCAAGGGTTATGTATTGATTGGGTAGTTGACAAAAGCAGTAGGGTAGTTGACACTGCCATGATTATAACACCTACAAAGTTCATAAAATAGGGCAAGTGACACACTTTATCTCTTAAAACGGTAAGAGCTATGGGAAAGGCTGTGATGTCACTTTTCATCAACTCATTTCACTATTTATTGATTTCAAAACTACTTAATTTTTTTTAATGTAATATTGTCCTTGGCCATTTTACACCGTCTCTAGTCCCAAACAAAGCAGAGCTTTTAGTATGGGTACTAGACAACGGATAAATCCTATAAAATGTTTTGTTTATATTATTTCTACAGGAAGAAAGCAACCTCCTAGACGTGGCCTTGCTAAAGGAGCAGCGGATGACGCGGTACCTCATGAAGCTCGACAGCCAGCAAGAATATGAGTCGCAGCGGCTCTGGGTCAAAGTGTCAGAGGCTATTGCCAATGATGACCAGGTCAGTTCATTCATTCGTTCATTCATTCATTTACATACCATAAGTCAGTTCATTAATTTGTTTTAGATCAGTTGAATCAGTTCATACTTCAATTATTTATTTGAATTTAACATACATTCGTTCGTTTATTCACGTGTTTAGATCACTTACAGTCTATCCAATATAGCTTGATTAGAATGACAGCTGTCAAACGAATGTGACTAGTGCTGGGTATGTTTCGTACGGTTCACATAGATGTATCGATAAGTTTTCGAAAAAATTATATAAAAAAAATGCACCCAATTTTTCTTCATATCTTTATTCATAAATATGACAATTAAAATGTATATTTTTAAAGACAGTAAAATTTAAAATTTATCGTCATCAGTGTTCTTCAGCGGTTTTTTCTTCTCGCTAGAGGGCGGTGGGAATCTCTTCTAGAGCAACGGTGCTATGAATACCCAAAAAAATACCGGTGATTGATTCCCGATGTGATGATTATTTAAGAATGAAACGTTTTTTGGTTTTTAATAGTAAACATTTAGAAAAACGTATAACTTGACGTAAATATGAAAAAAAATTGTTAGAAAAAAAAATAGTTAAATATGTTAAAAAATTAGTTTTAATTTAAAATGACATTTGTCGATATGTCCCAACACTAACATTTTTGTAACTCGAGATAACCTTGTAGAGACGTCGTTAATAATCTAGCTGGATTTTTATAATTTCGAATTACTACTTATTGGTGTAATTTAAAGCTGCATTTACACGAAATTAACAAACAATATTTTCGACGACCTCAGTCTGACCTCAGACGTGAATTATTTCACGTCCGTCAATATTTAGCTCTCATTGATCGCTACTACAAAGTTATGTCGTTACTTTTGATGGCAGCTGTCATTCTAATCAAGCTATATTAGATAGACTATAGTTCCTTCATTCGTTTATGTCAAGGTATCGGTCGTTCTTTGTTACGCAGGCATTATTTTGAAGCAGTCGGTATTTTAGATTTTGTAACTGTTTTACGATATGAATAAGGTTTATTTGAGGACCAGAATCACCCTCTTTCGATTCGTACGGGATTTTTTCAAACTGCAAAGAGTTTGTGCCGTATACACACATAAGTTTTCTATGTATTAACATCTATTTAAATAAGTTGTCATGTAAATTGAGTTAGTGTAATACGATTGATCGGAACAATAAACATCGTTCAAACCACAAGTACTGTGTCGTCTCTCATTAATTACACTCACCCCGCGCATACACGCGCACAAGTTTCATGATGACTCATTCGTTCATTCTCAACTCACTCACTCATTCGTTCTCTCCACAGATCGCAGCGACAGAACAGAAGACGATAATAGAGGAAGCGCAAAGAGCGCGCGCCAGGAATCTGGTGACGCCATGGGTGCCAAGATTCTTCCATAAGGAGTTGCATGTACAGCCACCTGACGGTAAATATCTAAATATAACTCAAAGCTGACTGACTGACTGACATAGTGATCTATCAACGCACAGCCCAAACCACTGGACGGATCGGGCTGAAATTCGGCATGCAGGTAGATGTTATGACGTAGGCATCCGCTAAGAAAATATTTTACGAAACTCCACCCCTAAAGGGGTAAAACGGGATCCACGCGTACGAAGTCGCGGGCGGTCGCTAGTCCTACTATATTTTTCTACTATAGGTCATTCAACGAGAGTTGGGGCCATAAATAAACACGCAAAGGTGCGGATTCGTGAGGCCTAAGCTGAGCTTTGCAATAGGTTTTTAACACCACCAATCAATTGATGTACTTTTTAAAACTGTCAAAACGAGACTTCCATAGATTTTGTATGGCAATACTAGCCTGTGACGTCACTATTGAGTTGACACCAAACTACTTTTATCAATTACAATGCAACGAAAAATCCTAATTTACAATTAATTTGATATAAATTAAGTTTTTAACACCAGAATGAAGTGAGTTTTAAAAAAAGTCGTGATTTCGAATTATTGGGGAATAGTGTCAAATATTCTATTGATTAGTGGTGTCAAAAAGTTTATAGTCTGGTCGCTGAGCACGTAGAATTTTGTCCAATGACCCCAAGCTACCCATCCTTATCGCTCGCGCGTAATTATATTGCTGTCGCGACTGTGCGACGGGCGCCCGCAGTGAGCGTGCGAGCGCGACAGCAATATAATTACTCGCGAGCGATAAGGATGGGTAGCTTGGGGTCATTGGACAAAATTCTACGTGCTCGGAGACCGGGCTTTAGTTTGTCGACGAGCGACGTATACCTTTGAGTGATTTTTTTTAAGTTTGTCAAAGGCTTTATTTTAATTGTTGTACTGATATTTTGCAGGTATCATTGACCAGGGGTGGAGATACAATCACGTGAACACTAGGTAATTATCTATACTAAATATTATAAACGGGACTATTCCCACCTCTCGTTCCCACCGCTGCAACTCCTGTGTAGCCAGGATCTACAGCTTGACCGCCAATAACACAACCAGTGACGGTCAAGTTTGTCCCGGGGGAAAGTTAAACATTGGACCCGCAGCCAAATTAATCAGAGGAGTTAGAAGTTAAGGTTTGACTTCCAGTGCAAAGCTGATGACAGATTTAATATACTCTAATTTTGTCGGCCGGTTGGTGTAGTGGTTCAGAACGGACTACTGTACCGAGAGGTCTCGAGTTCGATTCTCGGCCGGGCAGAAATTGAAATGATGAATTTTAATTTCTGTAACGGGATTGGGTGTTACTTACTATGTATAATATCTATGTATGTATATTGTATTTACAAAAAAAAGTATTTAAGTATGTTTATATCCGTTGTCTAGTACCCATAGCAGGCCTGTTCATCTCCGCGAGTTTACATCGAAAACAAAACACGCACAATGGCCCACCTACAGGATACTATTCGACAAGGCCTCACATACGAGCGAACATTGACTCACGCACGCGTATTCTTGTGTATGATGGAAGAAAATAAAGAAAATGGTGTACNAGTTTAATTCTAACCTACAATTTTTTTTTGTTTCGCAAATGCTATACGTAAACAAACATTAGTTAAGTAGTTAGTAATAACTATAGTGCATTTCATGGTGATAATATTATGGATTCAGAGTTTCAAAGTTCATTTTAGTATTTATCACCAAGGTATCCAAGTGGCAAGTACATTAGATACTAACTTACGTACTACCAATTTTGTTTTGAGAAATTATTAAGGTAAAAGACCCGACCATGGAACGGGTTATGTACATAGATGTAGATGAATATTGCGAGTACTTAAAAAAAATCAGACTTTAAATCCTTCTTTTTCTTTTTAATACATAATTTGATACCTTTTAGAGTAAAAAGGCTATATACCTTTATAAGTTCAATTTTAATGCAATTTAAAGAGAAAACGATAAAGACTGACTGATTATAATAACGTTTTCTTTATTTTTCCCTCAAAATATGATTCCAGAGATTTCCTGGGCCCATAACCTGTTAATTGGTAGGTTTTGATGGAACATATCAATGAAATTGAGATTTTCTGATGCACATTTATTGCAAGTAAGAACACTGTTCCTAGACCACAGTAATAGACAAACTTTTTTTTTTTTATTACATAGACAATATTTTATTGCTCTATGACCAAACCATTCATCAACATACAGCCAAGAGCAATATTCTAAATAAAATTATTATATACTTAACAGAGTCTGTATTGGTTTTTGATTTAGACGCAGTACAGTGCGAGCGCGCCGCAATGAGCGTCATACTGGCTATCGACATTTGGCTACTGTATAAAAATTATTTGTTCGAAAATAACTGAAACGTTAATATTGTTGCATGCATACTCTTAAACAATTATAATTTTGACTCGGCGAACTTCGTACCGTCTAACAGACAATGATTGTTGCATGCATTGAGATGGTGCGTATTACGTCGCGGACTACCCACATCTTATTGAATAATACGCTAAAAACATTATTCTTCTTTTTTAGGTAGTTGGCTAGCTACCTCTATATCAAATTTGATCAAAATCTGCCCAGCCGTTCTTGACTTATAAATCGTGTAACTAACACGACTTTGTTTTATGTATAAAATAAAGAACGGCTGAACAGATTTTAATGAAATTTGGCATGGAGATAGCTGGAACCCTGGACTAACATATCCCGAATTCCCGACTACCCAAAAAGAAGGGTAATGTTTTAAGAGTATTATCTAATAAGTTGTGGGTGGTCTGCGACGTAATACCATCTCAATGCCAACAATCATTGTTTTTAGGCGGTACAAAGTTCGCCGAGTCAAAATTATAATTATTTAAGAGTATGCATGCAACAATATTAACGTTTGAGTTATTTTCGAACAAATAATTTTTATAGAGTCGCCAAATGTCGATAGCCAGTATGACGCTCATTGCGGCGCGCTCTCACTGTACTGCGTCTAAATTAAAAACCAATACAGACTCCATTCTACAACTTTACACACGTTATTTATAAACTACTAGTTATATTTTAAAACAAAAATTAAAAATTAAAAAAAACCCGAAGTTTTGTAAAATTCGATTTTAAAACTTTACTTCCGGTTTTCTATGTGAACAAAAACGAAATTTCAAATTTGTAGTAAATAATAAGAAACACAGTTATTTATTCACAAAAGTCCAATAGTTAGTTTATTTTTAATAAAATGTAATAATAGCAGTAATAGCTTCTGAAAAATCTGTTCCTAAAATTTTACCAAATTTTTGAACGCTCATAAAAAATAAACTAAGCTTCATAAAAAAAAATAATGATGCACATCCATTCAGGTCATATAGCAGTACATTTAATCCAAATATGAACAAAATCCAAAACCTGACATGAGGTAAATAAGTAGTTAATATTATTCATGATAATTCATGCTAAATCATGTATTTCCTCCGCCATTTTCCGCAGTTTGGCACCTCACGTCACATCATTTTACCGAAGTCAGCCCTATAGCTTCGGCGCAGTGCCGATCACTGACGTTTGTCAACAAAATGGTGCTTGACTCTTGAGACAGGCTAAATTACACCATATTGTTAATGACATTGAGCATACATTTTTTTAAATACCTTCGCGAAGTAAAACTTCTGTACGTAGTACTTATTATTATTCTGTGCCCATAGTCCCAAGTCCGTAGTAGTAGTCCGTAGTCCCAAACTAAACAATGTTTGTTGTTTAGTTTGGGACTAGAGGCGCTGTGTAAAATGTCCAAGGATATTTTATTATTATTTATAATACTTTTCTTCCAGCCCATGGCAATCAGACGAGGTGATAGAGTACGAGGACGAGTTCGTGATCGGCTCCCTACGGGGCCCCGGGCACGGCAGGGCCCCCGTGTCGGCGGGGCCCCGAGAAATATCCCGTCGGGCTTCCGACTCCGATAGCCGGGACGAACTAGCCAAGCGGTCCAGCAAAAGTACCACGTGAGTTGAGTTTTCATAAGGGTATTGAGATTTCGTAGGATATCTACGGGGTTAAATGGCGCATTGGCTCTGCCGTCGCTTCGCACGCGTGAGGACCCAAGATCAAATCACATCAATATTACAAAAAATGGAAAATTGTTATCATAATAATTAATTTCTTTGGTCTAACAAAACTTACCAAAAAATGAAAATAAAATAGAGAGAGCAAAATGAGACAGTATGGAAGAAGGAAATACCTGCTTCGCCCAGGGTTGCCATGTCCAAAATCACAAAAGCCGGACTTTGTGCTTCATTTGGCCGGACATTTTACCCTAAAAGCCGGACATGTGACGGGGTAGGGGGGGTGCAATTAGTGCCGGTGCCGGACAAGGCAATATTTGGCCGGACAAGTCCCTAAAAAGCCAAACATGTTCGGCTAAAGCCGGACGCCTGGCAACCCTAGCTTCGCCTGTGAGTAATATTTAAGGTTTCTCATAGGTCGTTCGAATGACAATAAATCTCCTGCAAATCTATCCCAGTGGTGAGGAATCTAAGCCAGAAAAGATACACTATAGTCTGGTCCGTGAGCACGTAGAATTTTGTCCAATGACCCCAAGCTACCCATCCTTATCGCTCGCGCGTAATTATGTTGCTATCACGCTCGCACACTCACTGCGGGCGTCCGGCGGAGTTTGACAGATTTTTGACGTTTGTTAAAGTCAAAGTAAGATGGTGCAAGCCAGCCTTCGTAAAAATACATCCAAAAACCTCACTTATCAACCTTTTTGTCCACAGGCGTACCCTCAAACAAACTCTATACTCCATCGACACAGCCCTACGAGATCACACGCACGCGATAGAGCGCTTGCAAAAAACCGTAGAGTCCCTCAACGAAGGACACAGAGCGACCGCCTTCCGCCCACAAAACGTGGGCAGGATACCCACTACGACCCACTCGTGGGACCTATTCGGGGGATTTGTACTAGCTATAGTACTTCAAGCGCTGTTAAACTGGCTGTTCTATCACAAAGACTGAGTTCCGGTGAGCTGGTTCTATTTTTACTGTTAAATTTCACTGTCTTTGGATTTGGAACGGTTTTGTCTTTGGATGTTTTGTTCTCTTTGGTCACTCGAGTCGAATTCGCATGTGTGTCAAGATGTTTGCAAATATGTTTTTGAAAATATATTTGTGAGAGGCGATTATTTGTATTGCTAATAAAAAAAAAATCATGTAAAGTGATTTCCCATTATTTACAAAGAATAATACTTTCCAAAAACTTTATCACAAACTTGTCTGTACACATCTTGACACAGTAAGTCTGCAGTCAAATGACGCGTGCTTATTTTTATGTTGCCTTCACACAAAAATAAAGACACATTTTGACGTGTCACAATAGTTAATATGACACTTTGTTGACTCGAATACAGTGTGAAATGGATTTTATTACCCGACTGCGCTTAAAAGAGGGTTATGTTTTAAAGGTAAAATCTTATACGACTAAAAAGAGCTATTACAGCCAAATACGAAACCGTTTTAAATGTATACGTCCACATACATTTTTCCATTCACGATCAATGAATTTTTATGGCAATTTGAAGTGAAAAGTGTGACTTTTTAGACTAATAATATCTCAGGTCTATTCGTTATTCTAGCGGTTATTCTAGCGCATAACCCAGTTAGGCCCAGAACAGACGGTGAAACGCAACTGCAACGAAACTGCAACTGCTAGTTACTTTTGAGTTGCATCTAAGTTTCTGCCATAGCGTCCGTTGAGAGACCACACATGACGCGACCAGTTTGAAACTTTCAGTTTCAGTTTCATTCATAAGAATCATCAGAAAGTTGCAGTCTCGTTGCAGTTGCGTTTCACCGTCTGTTCTGGGCCTTAGTGTCTGAGGTATGAGAGTGGCACGGTCAGATTTTTATTACGTCAAAATTAAATGTCAGCGAGACTTCGGATTTGTGTATGTTCTGTCACGTCATTATTATGTCAAAATTACCAATCCCGTCCGCTCCCATACCTCAAGCACTGGCTGAGTTAACCACTAGACTTATACTACAAACATGTTCATGAACAAAATGTACAGTTTTGAAGCTGTTAATTGTATCTATAAAAGAGATGGTACATTATTTTTTTACTGTTTGAAGATGGTTTTAGACACTAGAACAGTATTTTTCAACCTTTTTCGGCGACCCCCCGACCGTTCGCTTTTTTTTTCATGCATATTATAATGTTACAAAGATGTTGTAGGGACCGAATACTTCAACCTATACAAGATTTTAGCATAATTAGATTTCGAATAAATCTGTCGTTATAAGATTTTTTTACTGAGTTAGTTTTTACGACCTCTCGCGACCCCCCTGTAGAGGCTTCGCGACCCCCCAGTTGCGACCCACAGGTTGAAAAACACTGCACTAGAAAATTAACTAAAAAGTCAACCTTTATACTTCAATAAGTTTTTCTAAAGTGTTAAACACGACTTCCAGCAAAATTATTTCAAGAAAGGTATATCCACAATACACCTTTAACTGTGCTCTTTCTCGTGAAAGAGTTGTTCACAAAATTGAAATAATTTTGCGTACAGTCAGCTTCAAATAGTTCGTGACACCCAAAGTGGCAATAAAGTTGACAACACAACCTTATTCAAATAGACAATTTGACACCATTCCCAAAAAAAAACGCTCCATTCTGGCCTTAATAATTTAATTAATTTTAAATTACCTGTAAATTACGATTTTTGGTCGCATTGTAATTGAAAAAAGTAGTTTAATTGAGTTGACAAAATACTGACGTCACTTGCTTGTAGTGTCATACAAAATCTATGGGAGAATTTTGTTTTGACAGTTTTAAAAAGTTCATCAATTGATTGGTGGTGTCAACACGTCTATTGTAACAAAGACGTGTTTTTGGCTACTTTGGGTGTCATGAACCATTTTAAATTTGAAGCTGACTGCACCTCACATATACCAGTGCAATATTAATACATAGATATACTTACACACTTAAAAAATAAAAATTTGCAACCCTCCAAAGGGAGCACTGAAACACTTAACTATTGACAAAGTTCTTATGAATGTAATATATTTAAAATTGCTTATTTACATTAATTTAATAAGCTGCAATTATAAATGAATCGAAAAATATTATATGGGCTCACCTAGTATGATAATAAATAAATAAATCTATATTAAACTTCCAAGTTATTTATTTATTACTTTGTGTTACTTTTCCTCACATTCTTTACATTTAAATCTAAATTAAATAACTTCGTCCCTTTCACACCTCACACGTTAGACAAAGATAGCACGAGTTAACTTTAAAAGGATTTAAATTGAAAGGATGCGTCTTAATATTTAAATTAACAATATTTTGATCATCAAATTGAGAATAAAATAGCTTATTAACTATTAAATATTATAATATTTGCAATGTACATTTTACTGTGTACGTTAATTTGTAATTTAAAGTAATTGCCATTTGTTCTTGTATTTTTCATTTTATCGCTCGAAAAACAAAAATTGACAGCCTTATTAAACAATTCCATGTTGGCCAAATTAGAGATCCCAAGCATGATTGAAGTGATAAAAAAGCAAAATTGGTTGACAGCTGTCAAGTTGACGACATGTACTGACGGTGATAAAATTAAAAATACAAAACACTTTTTTTTGTTTCGGTACTGTGGGTACATTGACCAAAATTAGTTTAAAATATGTTATAAAATAATGAAGACATATTTTCTTGTTTTTATTTTTGTTGTGGGACTAATGTATGGAATATTTTGAGTTAAAATTTTCTTTTATAATCAAATGATGCTAAATTTCATCATAATTGGTTTAGCTTTTTATAAATGCGTGAAAATGTGGCAAAATGACACAGATATAGTTACTTTGGCATTTATAATACTCGTATTAGTATAAGTTCTAAATAAAGAACAAAATATTTTCTAGTTCTAAATAAAGAACAAACTGTTTTCTAGATTCAAAATGAGTCTTACTACCATACATTTAAGTCCCAAATTACTGCTTTATTTGTCGATATAGTTTTTAAACAATTTTGATAGTAATTAGAAAACGATTGCAAATGAAAATTGAACTATTTTTCTTATTTTAGTTGGTGATGTGAATAGTGATATTAGGTACCTAACCTTAATTCTTAGCAATAAGCACTTTCCCTTTTGATTTCGGTTTAAATAAAAATGACTCCATAGTGACAAAAAATTCATGAAATTATGCACATATTCCCTCGAACCGTTTTCGAGAAATCAAGCGTTGCTACTTGCAAACATTTTTGGCCCACCCTATAGTATATTTTTTAAATTATATCGACAAATATTACGTACCGTTCACTTGCCAGAGCTTTCCTAGTGTTTATGGTTTAGTTAGGCCAATGACGACTTTACAGTATTTATTTCATCATCATCAGCCCTTTACAGTCCACTGCTGGACTATGAGCCTCCTCCACTATAGTGGAGGGTTTTGCCATAATCTCCACGCTTGGCAGGCGGGTTGGAGATCGCAGTTTAAAAGATTGATGTTTTTCAGAGAGCGCTGCTGCCCATTCTCTGTTTGATGTGTAGTCCCTAAGTCGCCTCTTACGACACCCGCGGGAAGCGTAGGGGTTGGTGACAAATGTATTCTACTCTGCCGTCACCACACGGCTAATTTTATTTATTGTCTATGAAAGATCGTACTATCTGATCGAGCTCACTGCGCACCTCGCTGGAATGTGACTATCCGCACAGCTCCCCGCGTTCGCCCCGTCTGTAACAGACTGTCGATGTGACGTCACAGCTGCCAGGTGCGCAGACTCGACCGGGTTGTACTTGTGTCCAAAAGCTGATTTAAACGTATTAAGTAGTTCAGTATTTAACAAAAATTCAACTTAATTTTAAGCGATCAAAATGCATCGTAACTCAATTTTAACTTAATTCCAAACGTCAAGCTCTTGTTTACTATGAAACTGCTTGTCAAAACGTATCAAGTGACAAGCCCCGCCCACCAACTTGACAGAAAAATTAAGTAAAAATTTTGTTATCTACTTAATACGTGTAAATCAGCCTTATGTCCATGCTCCGTATGCAGATTAGTGGTTGCTCAACGAGAGTTGAGGCATCAACACAAGCAAAGATTTGTATCTGTATACGTTGTTTTGCGTAGTAGCACTGACGAATGCTTTCTGTCTCGCTTGCAGACGTTCATTTTCGAGGTTTTAAATCGATGAATAAAAATGGAATAAACTTTTTAATGTAACATTGGAATTAAAAGTACTAATATTAGAACATCTGTTTTTTTTAATTTAAAAAGTATTTTTTTTTGTTTTCGTAAAGTCGTTATTGTAATTAAATTTGGAGTGTATGTCCATTAATGAGTAGCTGACACCATAAATCGTGCTTTTTACCCGACTGCGCCAGAAGAAGGGTTATGTTTTTATAAGCTGCCAAAAAGCGATTCCTTCATATATTGATTTTATAGTCAAACGAATCTTAAACGTCAAGTGGCAAAAATCAGAACTATAACCAGTATTGATAGTAGCGCCTTCCTGTAAAATGTCATAATTATAATGTGACCCATGTGTCTAATGTGGCAAAAATCGGAACTATCCAATATGATAGTAGCGCACTACTATCAATGTCATAGCTGGGACGGTTCAGTGTTGGACAGCTATTTTTTACCATAGATTCGGCACAATTTACATCAACAAAAATTATTGAAATTGAGCAAACTTGCAACCAATAGTAGAAATAGGTGTTAATAACGCTATCTAACATTGCCCTGTCAAATTGTCGTAAACGACATTGCTATAGTCTGGTCCGTGAGCACGTAGAATTTTGTCCAATGACCCCTAGCTACCCATCCTTATCGCTCGCGTGTAATTATGTTGCTATCGCGCTCGCACACTCACTGCGCGTGCCAGTCGCACAGACGCGACAGCAATATAATTACGCGCGAGCGATAAGGATGGGTAGCTAGGGGTCATTGGACAAAATTCTACGTGCTCACGGACCGGTCTTTACAATGGTGGGAAATTATACCCTTCTTTGTTTTGAGCCAAAATTAACCTTTGACTTAAAATAAGATTTTTTAAGACAAATGCAATTGACTTTTCGGTTGCTGGTGTCAACTACTCCATTTAGAAGAAAGAAACATGTTTCTTTCTTTCTATTTATGTAGTTTAGCCTAAACTGAGCTTGGTATAATAATTTTGATGTTAAATATTTTGTAACGGTTGATTGACTTGTAAGAATCGGGGCCGGAATTACAGTATAATGTGTAGATTTTTATATACATAGAGTGCTTAAGAATATAATCTAGCTTGCCTGTACAAAAAAGTTGAGAAAATGTTTGTAAGTATTCAAGAATTCATGAAAAAATTGTCTATCGATTGTAAAAAATGTTAAATAACCCATTTAAAATGTAAAAAACGAATTATACTGTAATTCTGAGTACTCCACTCATTCCATAGGTTAACTTAGTACGTCCTAATTTCGTGTGTTTTGATTAGTGTGAGTAGATTTTTACATGACGTATTGAAACCTTTTTCGTGGTTACGATGGAATTGATTCCTGTGTGCGGCTTGAAAAAAAAAAACAAAGCGGTGACATTAAATTTGGCGGGAAATGTGACGCGTCCCCAATGTTGCCAACATAAAAAATAATGCTTCCATTTCGGAATCTCGAAGGTATTTTTGTGAAATCTTTATGCATGAATTCCGGGGACTTTGAAGGTGTGGCCATTCTATTATAAGTATTATTCCCATTTACTGTAGATAATTATACTTTGATTACTGTATAATAAATTAAAGTATCTGTCATCGCCTCCTATATAAAATCTAAAGGAAGTTCACTAAATAACTTTTGTAAGTGACTACATAGCGTGAACTTGCCATAATGATATATTTGTATTGATTATGTAATTAAATATTTCAAGCATTTAGATAATTCTTAGATTGTTGATATTTTGTTGTTTTATCCAGTGAATTATATTTTTTTCCAGATTAATGTTTTGTTTTATTTAACTTCTATAATTAACTCACTAATATCGGCACAGTGCATCAACTCCTTAACCTTAGCCTTGTAAGAAATAAATTTAAATAAGTTTGATAAGGTGAGCATAAACTAAGAGCATTTTACTTGTAACAGAACATCAGATTTGATGGGAAATCCTTTGGAGGCCTTTGTCCAGCTGTGGGCGATTAGGCTAAAAACGACGAACGAAAGGATATTTATGAAAATATTTATTTAAAAAATTACGGTCGAATAGCAAAATATGGGTATCGACCTTGAGGTCCGTTGAACCAATAGTACCCCAAGTTTTGGATGTCTTCTGGTTCCCAATGGAACCTTTTGGGTAAGAAGTGCTGTATTCTTCTTCTAGCATCTTCTTCAGAGCTGGGACTCACTAACCTGGTGCCTTGGAGGTAATATTCTTTCTTTACCGGTTTTTTATTTGCCGGTTTTTTGTACGGATTTGTATTTATCGGTTTTTTCCTCGGTGTTTTGTACGGTTTTTCATATTCGTCATCGGATGAGTCATCACTATCTTCCGGATTTTTGTGCGGCTCTACATTAGGTCTTTTCGGTTCTTTATACTGATTTTTATGTGGCATTACGTAAGGCTTTTTATATGTTTTTGCGTTTGGCTTTTTATAAGGTTTTTTGTATTCAACTGAAGAATCATCACTATCGTCATCACTCTCTTTTTCTTTAGATAAAATGTTTTCTATCACTTGAAACCTTTTAGGTTTTTTATAATAACTTTGCTTCTGTATCTCGATCGATTCATCAGAGTCGGTGTCGGAGGAATCTGAAGCTCTGTATATTATGTTTGTATTTCTTCGTTTGGCTTTCAAATTACGATTTTTCTTTTTCATTCTCAAATCTCCAATATCAATATAATCGGTTGAAAATCTATCTTTTAAATCACTCCTCTCAGACTTTTGGTTCAAACCTACAGCTCTTGTAAAATCCATGAATGGGTCTTTCAAATCGATCAATAGCTGTGGTTTTTTCTGACTCAGTTTCTTCATTTCTTTTTTCGCTTTAAGTTTTTTTAAACACAATATCCTTTGCTCCTTCGTCCCGTATATACTACCAAAGAGGCGCGCGCACTGGTTTTCAATCGTTTCATGTTCAGATTTTTGTTGGCTTTTGTCTATAATTTTTAAGAGGTCCAAAATTGTCTGTCTAGGGTCAGACCTCTGAGGTTTGGTGAATGGTTGAGCAATCGGAGGAACGACGTTTATAATGTGTCTGCTGATGGGATTGTAGTAAAACCAAAATAATTTTGCTTCCAATAGCGGCAGTGTGGCTGAAAAAAAAGGTCACTTACTTAGTCTCCAATTGCAGGAGCACTACCCTCTAATTTACCAGAGGCAAATGGAGGATTTGGCCTGCAGTCACCACGCTGGCAAGATAGGTTTGGAAGGAATGCACATAATATCTTATTATTTTGTAAAAGAAAATCGCATAAAAATATTAAGTCCAGTTTTGAGGGAACACGTACTTAGTGCTGGATCCCCCAAAACTGGACTGTACTGTGAACACCATGTGTGTTTGAAATTCAAATTACAAATTTTAAAGGATTTTTTTTTGTGATACTGCAAACTAGATATTCGTTTGAAGCCAGAAAAAATATTTCTACAGGGTGGAAACGATAAGTGATCTCACTCGATTATTTCTAAACTATACAAGATATCGAAAATCTGGTTACTGGTCCTGAAAGTGCTTCACGAGCTCTTTCAAACGGTACCAATAACAGGTTACAGAATAAACGGGATCTATCCGAAAATTCAATGTTTCCAGCTTCCATATTAAATGTATGCCAACCACGCAATATTAGAAGTGTATTTTTTTTAAACTTTAAATAAGTAAAATCGTAAATTGCATTCTTATTTAAAATTATTTATGGAAAATTAGTTTTAGGCATTACTTGCTATAAAGTTTGCTATAATATTATCAAGAGATAAGTACCATTAGGTATCTGTGATATTACTTAATGTATGGAAGATAAAAACATTGAATTTTTAGATAGATCCAGTTTATTCTGTAACTTAATATCGATACCATAGGATAGAGCTCGTGAAGCACTTTTAGGATCAGTAACCAGTTTCACGATATCTTTTGCAGTTTTTAATATTATGGGGCTGTACCAAATGTATGGAAGCCGGAAACATTGAATTTTCGGATAGATCCAATTTATTCTTTAACCTATTATTGGTACCGTTTGATAGAGCTCATGAAGCACTTTCAGGATCAGTAACTAGTTTTTTGATATCTTGTATAGTTTAGAAATAATCGAATGAGATCACTTATCGTTTCCACCCTGTATAGGTCCCTATTTATAATACTTACCGAGAAAAATAAGACAAGTTAAAAAAATACTTTTAAACTTAATTTCTACCATTATTGATTTATTATTATTTGTTATTTAAATCACAATATGTAAGCATGATCATTTTTATTCAACCAAGTTTAGTTAATAAAGTTTTATGACATTTTGTTTGCCTCGTGCAGAATTATTATCATCTACATAAATCTATAAAATATGTAAGTATGTTTGCCTTTGTATATTGAGGTAAAAGAGGTATTTTTTTGGACGTGTGTTCTAAAAACCGGGAAAGTGCGAGTCGGACTCGTATACCGAGGGTCCCGTACTAAGTTGTCCCTGAAAATAAAAAAATCGGGCAAAAAGCTCAGCAAAATAACGTTTATCGTTTTAACACGTTCAGTGCCACGACTTGCCAGTTTTTGCAAATATTTCCAAAATGCATACGTATTAATTTACTGCTCAAAATTATAATTTAGACTATTTCTACTACAGGGGTGGCGAACTGGCGAACCTTAATTTTTTTACCAACTTTTTATGTATCAACGTGCCTAAATAACACAATGAGGGGTATCGAACAAGTGGCGCCACTGGCGTATGACGGACCTTACTCTACCTACTTCTGTAAAAGTGCGTTTTAAGAGCCTACTTGCAAAAATAAAATGAGTTTTGTACAGTGCCATTAACTGATGAGGGCAAAGACAATAGGCCTAGAATTCAAAATATTTCCATTTTAATTTATAGTGAATTTTGAGATTTGTGGCGGCGCGGCCCGCGTGCCCTAAGGTAAATATTGTGGTGCGTGCTGCGTGCCATATCCTACTGAACTATTCCTATAGTTCATAAGTGCCAAAATGCTGGTCAAAATTGAATAAATATTTTTGATTGGGTTTGTTTTGGTTATCCAAATTGAAGAAAAAGCAAAACCACAGCACAAACTAGTGTAGTATTAAGTACTTATTCACGCTTGAAAACCCATTGTAATGGGGCTTGTCCACTCCATGTACTATTAATTGAAAACATGATTAAACATACTATTTAATAAAGCCATTTCATTACCCTGTTCATAGCTTGTATGGGACGCTGAAAACAGTAAATAACTTAATTTTAATAGACTGGAAGATTTTTTTTTTAAATATTATTATTACTTAGTAACTAGCGGCCGCCTGCGACTTCGCACGCGTGGATCCAGTTTTACCCCCTTAGGGGTGGAGTTTCGTAAAATCCTTTCTTAGCGGATGCATACGTCATAACATCTACCTGCATGCCAAATTTCAGCCCGATCCGTCCAGTAGTTGGGGATGTGCGTTGATAGATCACTATGTCAGTCAGTCAGTCAGTAGACCTTTGAGTTATTATATTTAGATTTGTTATTAAATTACTAATAGTCCTGTTAGCCCCTCGTACTAAGTTAAAATGCTTGTGTCACGAGTGGGCTCACCACAATAGTCGAGCGGCGGCGAGGACCGAACCCGCGTTACCGGATCACGAGTCGGCCAGTCCGACCCCTTCACCGTTCGGTTAAATCGTGGCTTCATTGGGGGAGGCCTATGTTCAGCAGTGGACGTCCTGTGGCTGAAGTGATGATGATGATAATAGACTGGAATACCTAACTTACTTGGGTCAGCCTGTAGATACGAAGAATTTGCTCTCTACGACTAAGTACTGTCAGTTTTTTGATCCTAGACATGCTTTACTGGTAAATCTACAGGTCTAGTGCCTGATTAAAAAGGCGCCCACTGATAATCACGCCCGTATTCACAAACAATGCTTGCTTAAGTGAAGCAGCAAATCGGACGCACAGCGTTGAATAGAGCTCTGTGATTGGTTCGTGTGTCACCCTTTGCATCCACGTGCACTGTGAGACCCGCGTTCCTTAGATCACGAATCCGCCAGGCCCACCCCTTCATTGTAAATGTTTGGACCAAAAATTAACAATTTATCTAAGTAGGTATAAAAAGAAGTAGGAAAATGTTAATAAAATACGTGAATACATTCGGAAAGTTTATTACAAAAGCAGATACAAAATCTTTTACACTTAGAGATACACAGTTCTGCTAAGTCTCACATAATAACTATGTACAAATGAAATCTAAGTATTATGTACTTATACAAAATAAATAAATGAAGGTTTGTATATTCACTTTGCGAAATAAACATACAGGATGTTATCTTGTAAATAACTTTTTTAGTTATACTAGCGTCACGCCCCGGCTTCGCACGGGTAGATATAGGTTTTTAACAAAAAATAAGAACATTTTATAATGGGAAAATGTTTTTTCTTCTACTTTCTAGTTTCGTCAATTTCCCAATCTTATTAGACATAAATGTTACAACAAATCAAATATCATGGAAATCGGTTTTCGAGTTAAGTTTTCTAAAAATCCCGACTTTGTTTTTTTTTTTAAGATTTAATGTAAGATAGACACTTTTTAATCTACTTACAATATAAAACATTTACAAAATAACACCCTGTATAGATAAAATAAGCAACATTTTCAGATTTTCAACCAAAATATTTCACTGGCTATGTTATTGAAAAATCTTAATTTTAAAGTAAGTAGCTCTTGCAACTCACGAAGGCGAGTGAGCTTTACTTGTGTGTGTACGTGTATATGCACATAACGATAGTGTAATGTCTATCAATACTTTTGGAAATGAACAGTAGCGAGCCACCACACATGTAAAGCTCACTCGCCTTCGTGAATTGCAACAACTATACAGAAAAACAAAGATCTACAACCCGGTCTGTGAGCACGTAGAATTTTGTCCAATGACCCCAAGCTACCCATCCTTATCGCTCGCGCATAATTATATTGCTGTCGCGACTGTGCGACGGGCGCCCGCAGTGAGTGTGCGAGCGACAGCAACATAATTCCGCGCGATCGGTAAGGGGATGGGTAGCTTGGGGTCATTGGACAAAATTCTACATGCTCGCAGACCAGACTACAGAAAAACAAAGTTCTAGAATGTTTAAACATTGCATTGGTGGCAAAAGGTAGTAGCGGCTCATCAGACTGAGCTGAAGAATAGATCCTATTTGTCTGATCATCCAAGAGTGGGTCAACCTGTTTATTAAAGTTTTGGAAGTAGAGATATTAATGAACTGAATGTAAGAAGATTAGCAGAAGTTTCAGGCACGTACAATTAATAATTGAAATACATCTAATACTAAGTACCGACCATCAAATCTTTATTTCAAACAATTTAGAAATTACAATTACGTACTAAACAATTCTGAAAACATTTCAAACTCATGCACACAATCATAGTTTTTTGTTTTGAATGTTAATTTACAAGCCGGTCGAGTTAACTGCGCACTTGGCGGCCGTGACGTCACATCGCCGCTCTGGTATTCCAACGAGGTGCGCAGTTAACTTGGTCCGATTTTACAAGACTAAAGCCCGGTTTGTGAGCACGTATAATTTTGTCCAATGACCCCAAACTACCCATCCTTATCGCTCGCGCGTAATTATATTGCTGTCGCGACTGTGCGACTGTGCGAGCGCGACAGCCACATAATAATTACGCGCGAGCGATAAGGATGGGTAGCTTGGGGTCATTAGACAAAATTCTACGTGCTCGCAGACAAGGACTATACTAATTGTTTTTCGCTGGTAACTTTTTCCATACCATTTTTTTTTGCATAACTACAACACTCAAACAAGAGATACACAACCAATTTCCTACCGTATTTCTGACTATCATGGTCGGATTTCATTCAAAAACCTACAAAAATCACATGTAAAAAGATTTTATTTGATCTACAAAAATATACAAAAAGATTTCACCCTAAGTTCTCTTGGTCACAAGTAGAAAATTCACTAAACGATATTTTTTTCATTTTTTTTAGACGATTTCAAATGTGTATTTTTTATTAATATTTTTTTAGAAAAAATGTTGAGTACCTAAGTATTTATGTTTTTTTTTACAAATGACTAATACGACTACGATTTTAAGTGAAAAATAAAAGATACGTCCAGAAACCATACTATTCTTTTCGTTTTTCCAAAGATATTGTAAATACTTATTTAAAACTAATCTTTTGTGTAGACTACTTTTTTTTTTCTGAGGTCTTTAAATGGATCTTTGGAACCACGAAAATAGAAATACATTATAAGTACATTTTACTCACAAATAATACAGCTTCTGAATCCGGAACTGTATTGAAAACTTCTAATTGATAAAATAAGCTATAGGCCAAATAATTAAGTAGAATAATTTAAACATTAAATACTATATTATGATGACATTAATGAGTGATAAGGTAACCATTTTTATAATAAAATTTTTCAGTTAAAATCTGCAGAATTTAGCTACATACAGCAGAAACTAGGAATGATTTAAAACAAGTTTAACCAAGACTAGCGGCCGCCCGCGACTTCGTACGCGCGGACCCCGTTTTACCACCTTGGGGGTGGAGTTTCGTAAAATCCGTTCTTGGCGGATGTCTACACCCTATAAAGAACCTACCTGCCAAATGTCAAATTTGCAGGTGTTTAATTTCTGAGATTTCGTGATTAATCAGTGAGTGGTATTTCGCTTTTAAATATTTAGAATGATAGGTAGGTATTTAACAACTACTACAAAATTGTTTATTAAATATTAGGTCACTCCTGGGAAACGAATTCAGGACCATATTCTGCGGATTTTAACTGCTATTAAATATGTATAATAAATATAAATATAATTTGTGCGCAAATAACTGTGAATGCGAATAACCGATATAAATGTTTTAATACTGAATTTAATTGCATATTTAATTTATAATTATGTAAATGTAGTTCTTATTCTATACTAACTATTTTAAATGAAATTTATTGACACCACTTTCATTTATTAAAAATAAATGAATGAAAGGGGACAATGATAATGAAGCGTAGTCAATGATTTTCGGAATCAATTTTCCATAGAATGAAATGGAAAATGAAATCATTAGGTACTTAATTATGAATTATTTTCATCATTTATGATTGTGGTGTCAAAATGCCTATCGAATTGTATGTATAATTTTAGATTCTACCTTTTAATGAGACATAAAACATACATTTTTCATATTTCATTTATTCTAAATGGACAAATAATGGATCGGTATAGTTTTTACATTTATGTCGTAATTAACCTAAAATGAATTTTAAAAATAATAAAACTCTTACATTACCTTTTTCGCCATTGTTTTTAATTTCTAATGTATTTAGATGATGTCAGTCAGAATGAGGGTTTTCGCGATTAAAAATCCGCCAGATGGCGGGACGCGTACGTGGGGTCCGACCATGAAGCTACAGATAAAAATGGAGGCCACACTCTGAATACCTACTTGAAGCACAAACTAAGTATCACTATCTCGCTCTCTGTGGCAGACTCGCTCTTTCTAAATAAACAAAAAATATAAAATTGCTCAAATTCAATGAAACCAATGTAAAATCTTTATTTCTTGACATAGGTATCATTAAAAATGATGAGTTTAATTACTGGTAAAACGTTTTAGGAAGAAATTACTATAAAAAATGTGAAAAATGTTTACAATGATCCAATGTCGGAAATCACGAAATAAACACTTACGCGTGGAATCTTATGTCACTTCCAGGACACCACGTACTACCGCAACCACGCACTACAAAATTTTGCACCAATTCTTGTGATAAAACAATGATTATTTCCTGTAAACAATCTCAAACGAAATTAACTGCTTAATAAACAAAATAGTAAACAACCGCCATGATGGGCCGGATTGGGCCGATGTTGCCACATGGTACCGATTACCCAGGAATTGGGATTGTAATTCCCTGATTCGCCAACACATTAAGCCTAAATGGCCGACAATTTTGTGATTTTTTATTTAACTAGGTAATCTTAGTTTCAAATATTAATTATTTATTTGTTTAACTTCTGATTTGGTTAGTGAATTGGCTATTTCGAAGAATTTACAAGGAGATTTAAATCAGAAGATAGCAATACTACAGTTCACACTAAAAAGAGAGGTAGGGCCGCAGAGAGCGAGATAGATATAAGTAGGTATTTGACTCAAGTTTTTGTTCCAACTCTGCCCTCCATTTTTATCTTTAGCTTCATGGGTCCGACCGCTGCGTGATTGGTGGATTTTGACATATCTGTCAATGTCATGTCAAAAATAACCAATCACGCTGCATCCACGTATCGCCATCTGGCGGATCCTTCAATCGCGAAAACCCTCATTATTTTCGCAAACTAATAATGGTTGGTTAAACCATTTACCTACTTTGTAACTACAGCCCAGTCGAGTTAACTGAGCACCAGGCCAGCCGTGACGTCACATCGCCGCTCTGGTACGGACGGGGCGAACGCGGGGAGGTGTGCAGGGTGAGTGCGAGGGAGTGTCGCATTCCAGCGAAGTGCGCAGTTAGCTCGACTGGTTGTAAATAGCTAATATGGTAGGTATTAAGAAAGTTTCTGAATCGAGATTTTTATTTTGAAAATTATAAGTTGTTGCATCCTGTCACTTTGGCAACTTCATTGTTATCCAACATTCTGTGCATGTCGTGGCAACCTTTAATTAAGGCAACACCCTAGCTTAATTTATTTTTAAGGAAACTGTGAATGTATGGTGTATGTTTTGTTGGTTGTCCTTAAATAAATAAATAAATAACTGAAAAAATCGAACTGCCTAAGGCGGGGGAATTTAACCCACGTTTTTTAGCTTGAGCGTGCTCAATTTCTAAGTAATATTATGTATGAATTTAATGAGAAAACTCTATATTCATAAAGAAAAACCTCAAGTCAGTCGGGCATAAGCAATAAACAAATGACAAGGATGGCTTGAAAATGCTTATGGCTTTTCTAAGATACATTTTGTGTTTGTAAGATGTATACAGTGTTGAAGTAACTTTCAGTAGATAAGGTCATAGCAGACATATCAACTCGGAAAATGATCAACACCGTATGGTCATCGTCTTTCGCGAGCTGTCATCGTCTTTCGCGAGCTGTCATCGTCTTTCGCGAGCTGTCATCGCCTTTGGCGCGCTGTCAACTGCGAGGCGAGGCGTTTACGACGGTGCGGATAAGGCCCAGAACAGACGGTGAAACGCAACTGCAACGAAACTGCAACTGCTAGTTACCTTTGAGTTGCATCTAAGTTTCTGCCATAGCGTCCGTTGAGAGACCACACATGACGCGACCAGTTTGAAACTTTCAGTTTCATTCATCAGAATCATCACAAAGTTGCAATTTCGTTGCAGTTGCGTTTCACCGTCTCTTCTGGGCCTAGTGTGCGTTGCAGTATGGAGTTTCATACAAAGAATACAGACTGCCTCGAGTTGATACGGTTACGATCCCTTTCCGGGTTGGTTACGCTACGTCCTTTACTTGGTTCAATGCTTGTGCACAGCGTTGAAGTACCTTAGCAGGTCTGCGTCGGCTCGGGCCACCCATGCGGAGTTTAAAGCAATCGTGTCGAGGGCGATTTGAGCACCGCGGTACTCGCCGAAGAGCTCTTTGAACTGAGAAAAACAAAATTAAAAGTTTATTGATACACACATATTACTTACAAACAAAGTAGTTAGGTACCTAGGTACATAAAAACAAAAATTAGGATTTATTTGTAGTAAAAAAAGCCTCATCAATACAAAAGTAGCACAGAATACCTAGTAGCAAATTACTTAGTTAGGTTTTCGGACGGTTAGGTTTTCGAGAGTTAGATTTTCGAAAAGTTAGGTTTGTAACCTAACCTAACCTAACCGTCCCATAAACCTAACTAAGTATTCATAGTTAGGTTTATGGGACGGTTAGGTTTACGAATAGTTATTAGGTTTACGAATAGTTAGGTTTTCGAAAAGTTGACAGGTTCGCAAAAAGTTTAGCATTTAACATTTAGTCACAAATTAAGTCCCAGTGAAATCATAAATAAAAAGGGTCTTACTAAAGTCTTAGTCTTTCTGTGGAGGATGAATGTCTTTACTCACCCTATAATAGTCGTGGGGCTCGTGCAGACAGCGGGCGGCGGCCAGCAGCGCCGGCGGCGGCAGCGCGGGCGCCGCTCGCAGCACGCGCCACGTGCCCGCCGCGCCGCGCCACCTAGCGGAGAAAATATAAAGTGATGTGATAAGTCAAACGATTCTTCTTCTTCTTCTTTTTTGATGATGTTGGCAATGCACGTCGAGGTCGACTTGATTTGTGCCATTTTCAAGTATTTATGTGATACGAGTTACAAAATGAGATTAAGTAATGATATAATGAAGGATGATAGATCACCCTTTGAGTCTCAGTAAAGTTGTGGTGCTTTACTGAGACCTCCTATGGACAACTTGAGGAATCACGATGCACTGTTCTGCTTCACTCGCCCACACTCATGAACGTTCACGAACACTTAATGGTTAATAATCTACCATTATTACACATTAATAGTCGCCCAAACACGAATTTGAGGAAATACAACAAAACCGCTAACATGACGCTTCAGATTCCCGCCAAGAAGTCCAACGATTCTTCTTCTTCTTCTTTTGTTGATGGCGATGGACTTGTGTTTTTTCGCCACTGGGGGCACACTGTTCCGCCAATGTTACGTGCGCAGCTTTTACACAATGATAGAAATAAAGTAAAAAGAAAAAATAAAACAACTGCAAAACTAAGCGGACTTATCGTACCTAAAACAAAAAAGACATCTGAAACAGAGTAAATACAAATGAGTAGGTTATCTTCATAGAAACGCACCGAGCGCGGTTTGTATGTGAGCGCGCCAATACGTATGCGGCGCGCACGCACACACTGACAAAATTCGGCGCAACCACGACTGGCTCCCCGCTAATCCACGCTAAATTTTGTCCGTGGACAAATTTGGACTATTCCCACCTCTCATCCCACCGCTGCAACTCCTGTGTAGCCAGGATCTACAGCTTGACCGCTCAACCCAACCAGTGAAGGTCAAGTTTGTCCCGGGGGAAAGTTAAACTGTCATTGGCCCCGCAACGAAATAATCAGAAAAACATAGGAGTTCGAAATTAAGGTTCGACTTCCCTCCATTGCAAAGCAGATGACTGACAAACAAAGGGTAACCTTTAAGAGGGAGAGTCGAGTTAGCTCGATCGAGTTGTATAGACAAACCTGCAAGTGGCCGTGCAAAGAGTAGTCACCCAGAGCCGCCACTCGCGACTCCGCTGCGCTTCGGCTGACAGCGCCGTGAATGCGAATCTGAAAATAATAATAAACTATTTTTAACCGCCTCTGGTGTCTAGTGGTAAGACCACCTGCTTCAGACGCAGAAGTCCCGGGTTCGATTCCCAGTGGGGGCAGATTTTTCTGTTCGGTTTTGTTGGTGGTAGGGCTTGTACTAAGTCCGCCTGGCTGGCTACCACCATCTTATTTAAGTCTGTCTCTATTACAACAATGTTAACAGCATTGTTATATTCCGGCAGTAAGTAAGTACAGGCTGGGGATGGTCTCTGGCTACATCCTATGATATAGTCAGACTAGATCCAGCATGTGCACCACTTTCACTTCTGTCGATTATTTTGCGCTTACAACTTTTTAGGCCCCACGCAAGCGTTGCAAAGGACCGGGTCACTTTTGACCCGTGAGAGTTTTGAAGTCAATAAGGTTCCTATGAAGTATCTCCACCCAGCGCCCATCCGGCTCTAAACCCCGAAATCTTTCAGCTCGAGCTGCAAATTCGTTTCGAATGCTTGGGAGACTGCGAATGTGTTGACGAATACAATGACAGATTTGTGGAAATTGTTTAAACGAGCGGACTCGGTATAAATATTAACTTAGTACATCACAATTTGTTTCTCGGCGCGAAATTTTGAACTGTCGGCGGCGGCGGCGGCGGCGGCGCGTCCTATCTAAACGGCGGCGCGCATGTCTCTGAAGCAAGGTCTTACCACTTCAACGGTTATAGACAACAAACTGGTAATATGCCTCACTCAACAGATGGCGCTGGTACAAGCTTACCTGCATCGCGGTGTTTAAAATTCCAACATACCTGTAGAACAGCCAGTCGTCTTTAGCGCTCGCCAGCGCTGCCAGCAGCGCCCGGTGGTTGTGCAGCGGGCGCGGCGCGGCGCACGACGCGCGCAGGGCACGCCAGCACGCGCGCCACGCGCTCGCGCCGTGCGCGCGCACGCCTGCCGTGAACGCCGCCTGGTGGAAACAACGAGTTTCTTAAGATTTTGAAAGAAAGAAAGATAATACATTTATTACAATGGACATCACACAAACACAGGCAATTACATAGACATGACAGTGGCACATAATAATGGAAGAAGAAAAAATAAAAACAAGAGTAAACTGTGGGTCTAGTCAAAACGCACTTTAAAATCGCAAACTCATCGCAAACCAGTCGCAAACAAACAAACAAATCGCAAAAGAGGTCGATAACAAAAAAGGCTTAGTCAAACGGCAAAAAATCGAATCGCAAAGCCCTACCTATCGATAATCGAAAGACTGGATTGAAATTTCCCATACAAAGGCTTAGCCAACATGCATTTAAGACTCAATCAAAATCGAATCGAATCGCAACACCCGCCATTTTCATTGCGATTACTTAAACCCCGGTGATAAGCTTCGATTATATCGAAAACCAATAGGGTGAGTTGCACCACCTAACTTTGACCGTAACTATGACGTTAACCGGTGTTTTTTGTATGGAGTTTGACAGATTTTAGACGTTTGTCAAAGTTAAACTAAGATGGTGCAACCCACCCTAAGGCTGTTTTGACAAATCCGTATCGCGATGTCGTTTTGACAGCTAGTTTGACAGCGAAGCATAGACGTAAACAGAGAGCAGAAAGAAGGAAGAAACTAATTTAAAAAAAAAAGCTAAAAAAAGTAAAAACAATCGCAAAGTCATAGACATTTTTTAACTTTTATTCGATTTTGAATGAACTTTTATATCGCCGCGTCGTTGGTGGTTCAATGTGCATTTTGGCTGCCATTTTCCGATCGAATCGAATTACTGGTGACGCGGCGACTGACATTAGTGAAAACTTCATATTGGTTTGCGATGGCATTTTGACTAGACCCACAGTTTCCATTTTGCCGATTAAGCGTGATTGACAATATGCGTGACAGTTGTGGTGACAGTGACAACCTGCACGCGCAGTGATCGCCATCGCGGTCGCGGCGGTGTGAAACAAATTTTGCACGCGCAGTGGTCGCCATCGCCATCGCCATCGCTGCACGCGTTGGTTTGTCCGAACCTTTAATCTTACTTTAAGTCATCGCAGAAATATAAACAATAATTTAAAATGAGAGAACATTTTTAGCCGTAATAGAGAAGTATTCACAATGCTTTGCGAGACGTACAAATCGGAAAAACAAAGAGAAATTTTCACGGCCATATTTTCAAATCGCCAAAGGGCTTTTTAGCAGACGAGTAATTTTCGAAATTACAAAGTTGCAAGCCGCTTTTAATATCGCAGACAAAGATACGGTCCGGTGCCGGTCGTTTTGCTCGCCGCGTCTGTCTGGGGGCGCTGATGACAGATCAGTGGGTCTAGTCAAAACGCACTTTAAAATCGCAAACCCATCGCAAACCAGTCGCAAACAAATAAACAAATCGCAAAAGAGGTCGATAACAAAAAAGGCTTAGTCAAACGGCAAAAAATCGAATCGCAAAGCCCTACCTATCGATAATCGAAAGACTGGATTGAAATTTCCCATACAAAGGCTTAGCCAACATGCATTTAAGACTCAATCAAAATCGAATCGAATCGCAACACCCGCCATTTTCATTGCGATTACTTAAACCCCGGTGATAAGCTTCGATTATATCGAAAACCAATAGGGTGAGTTGCACCACCTAACTTTGACCGTAACTATGACGTTAACCGGTGTTTTTTGTATGGAGTTTGACAGATTTTAGACGTTTGTCAAAGTTAAACTAAGATGGTGCAACCCACCCTAAGGCTGTTTTGACAAATCCGTATCGCGATGTCGTTTTGACAGCTAGTTTGACAGCGAAGCATAGACGTAAACAGAGAGCAGAAAGAAGGAAGAAACTAATTTAAAAAAAAAAGCTAAAAAAAGTAAAAACAATCGCAAAGTCATAGACATTTTTTAACTTTTATTCGATTTTGAATGAACTTTTATATCGCCGCGTCGTTGGTGGTTCAATGTGCATTTTGGCTGCCATTTTCCGATCGAATCGAATTACTGGTGACGCGGCGACTGACATTAGTGAAAACTTCATATTGGTTTGCGATGGCATTTTGACTACACCCACTTATCACCGGGGTTTAAGTAATCGCAATGAAAATGGCGGGTGTTGCGATTCGATTCGATTTTGATTGAGTCTTAAATGCATGTTGGCTAAGCCTTTGTATGGGAAATTTCAATCCAGTCTTTCGATTATCGATAGGTAAGGCTTTGCGATTCGATTTTTTGCCGTTTGACTAAGCCTTTTTTGTTATCGACCTCTTTTGCGATTTGTTTGTTTGTTTGCGACTGGTTTGCGATGGGTTTGCGATTTTAAAGTGCGTTTTGACTAGACCCACAGGCTAGTTTTGCCATACAAAATCTATGGGAGAGTCTCGTTCTGACAGTTTTAAAAAGTATGTCCATTGATTGGTGGTGTCAAATACCCTATTGCATACTTTTTATCCACCTTAGACCAACTTTTTTTTTTGCTTTTGACTAACTTTGGTTAGTTAATTATCTATCTGGACGAACTGCAGGTACTATAAGAGTTGAAAAAATATAGGTACAAGTCCAAGATGGACTGCAGACCGCAAACTGCAAGCCACCACGGTTTCTATGAAATTGCCTATATGAAATGCGGTCAACCGTAACCTCTAGCCGCAGTGTCGCCTGCGGTCGCAGTCTGCAGCCCATCTTGGACTTAATAGCAGCCGCCCGCGACTTTGTACGCGTGGATCCCGTTTTACCCCCTTAGGGGTGGAGTTTCGTAAAATCCTTTCTTAGCGGATGTCTACGTCATAACACCTATCTGCATGCCAAATTTCAGCCCGATCCGTCCAGTGGTTTGGGCTGTGCGTTGATAGATCACTATGTCAGTCAGTCAGTTACCTTTGAGTTATAAGTATGTACCTAGTTATATTTAGATTGCTTACCTCTTGGTATATGTCAGGTATGGTCTGGTTATCTTTATACCAGGCGTCGAAGAGTTGCACCGCCTGTTTCGTCACTCGAGGGTTCTCCCACTCTACACCAGCGGTTAGGAGGGCGCCACTGAGCCATCTGAAACAAATTGGTTTAATGACGATTTTTAGCAAGCTGTACAAACGATAGTGAACGCCAGACCTACGTCATTTTATAAAAGCTGAAAGTTTGTCAGCGTATGCTCCCAATATAGGTAGGTTAAAAGTGCACCACCCATCCCACCCACCACCATCGGTTCATCGTGGCTTTGACAGCTACCCTCAAAACATTGTCTGGTAAGGAGATGGAACTGTCAAACTATGTAAAGTATTTGGGAAATTATTAGAAGCTGTTGCCGCCGAGTTTACTTGGGGCGATTACGCTTGTGTTTTCCTTGGTCCAATCCAGAGCCTGCTTGGGGATGTGATCGGGATCATTTCGGAGAGTGTGGCCGATTCCACTTGCGGCGCTTGATCACCTACATGTACCTACTTAGGTGCTAAAAATTGACTCACAGCTGGTCTTCGTTGAGAGGCACCGTGGCCGCCGGGTCCAGAGTATGAAACTGAGAGTGTAGCCGATCCAGTTCCACTTGCGGCGCTTGATCACATGTACTTAGGTGCTAAAATTGACTCACAGCTGGTCTTCGTTGAGGGGCACCGCGGCCGCCGGGTCCAGAGTATGGAGCTCCTCAGGATGCAGCTGTTGTAATAGCTCGTGCAAGTGCGGCCCCGATGCGCCGAGGCGTAGTAAAGCGCGCCACCACGACACGTGGGAAAGCACCACGCGCCACGGCGCCCAGTGCTTTTCTGTGCTAAGACGGGCTGCGGAAGAAAAATGTGGTAAGAGGACCGGAATGGCGAACATTTAGATACAACCGAACGAGCGACGTTCGGTTTGCGTGTGAACATCGATAACGAGCAATTTTAGTTCTACAGTTCCAATAACTACACGTTACACTATCGTAACCGTAAACAAACTAAAGTCGCTGACATAGCCCGACGGGTTCTCGTCTTCGTCGACGAGACCGACGACCTCACAAAGGTAGCAGGAAGGCGTTGAGTGCAGGCCGCTACCAACGGTCATTATGGAAATCATTGGGGGAGGCCCATATTCAGCAGTGGACGTCCTATGCCTGAAATGATGATAACACTATCGAAGATTGGTCCTTCAAGCCGGATTTTCGTTTATGTATTTGGATTTGGCATCAAATAAACATTTTTCTTTCTTTCTTTAATAGTTTAGATAGACTTATGATTTGGCGCCAAATAAAATGTTGGTCCTTCGAGCCGGATTTTCGCCAAATTTTGGCGCCAATTTTTTTTAACAGTTTACACTTACTGGCAGCAGCAATGGCCCTGCTAGCTGGGAGGCGACCGGCTCTGCTCAATACAAACGCATCGTCCAGTAACAACGCTCGTTCTGCCGGCGCGCCACTTTCGTACAGCGCCGCCGCACGCGCGGCCGCCGACTCTGCTGTCTGGAAAAGGATTAAAGGACGTAGCACACTTATCAACTCCGAAAGGGATCAACATCGTATCGCGTTTTGCGAGCTGTCATCGCATTTCGCGCACTGTCAATCGCGAGGCGAGGCGTTTACGTTACAGTGCGCATAATATGTTCAGCAGTGGACTCATATGGCTGAAATGATGATGATTATTATGTGACGTAGATACTCTAGGAGAATTATTTTTTTTTAGAAAAAAACACCCCTGTTATGAAGAATTTTAATAGGAATAAGGCTCACTTCCGCAGGAGAACAAAAGTGACCGACATAGCCCGTAGAATTGCTAAAATCAAGCGGCAGTAGGCGGAGCACATAGCTCGCAGAGCTGATGGCCGCTGGGGCAGAAAAGTTCTCGAGTGGAGGCCACGGGCCGGAAGACGTAGTGTGGGCAGATCCCCACTAGGTGGATTGACGATCTGGTGAAGGCCGCGGGAAGAGCCTGGATGCGGGCAGCGCAGGACCTGTCGTTGCGGAAATCCTTGGGGGAGGCCTTTGTTCAGCAGTAGAAGTCCTGTGGCTGAAATGGTGATGATGATGATGATGATGATGATACTCACTTCCCCAGCGTTTCTGTCTTGAGGAGCCACTCTGTAAAGGCCCCTCGCGCCGACGTTGTACCGCACCCATTTATGTTTACCCAAATCGGGTATCACCACTGAAAGGAATAGAAACTGTCATTTTTAAACACATCTATTGGTCTAAAGCCTGGTCCGTGAGCACGTAGAATTTTGTCCAATAACCCCAAGCTACCCATCCTTATCGCTCGCGCGTAATTATATTGCTGTCGCGACAGTGCGACGGGCGCCCGCAGTGAGTGTGCGAGTGCGACAGCAACATAATTACGCGATAAGGATGGGTAGCTTGGGGTCATTGGACAAAATTGTACGTGCCCACGGACCAGGTTTTAGCGCCTAACTTAGTCAGTGCCTGAGTGCAGGAGAGACATTATGACGTGATAGAGCAAACAAATCTAAATAATTTTTAATGTCCCAGAAACATCCTAGCGAGTGAACTGCGCACCTCGCTGGAATGCGACACGTAGCAGTGCGTTGATGTGACGTCACGGCCGCCAGGTGCGCAGTTAAAGCGAGAGCCCCGATTGCGGTAAAAATGGCAATGCCAGATTTTGTATGGAAGGTGGCGTCTTTTTTTTTTCGCGCGGCCATCGACCAAACTTTGTTTTTTGATTACAAAATAGTGTAATAAACCAAACTTACTATGACATGTATACCTCTTAACTCAGTCTGAACTGAGTTACGAGCGTTAGAAGTTTGATGACTTACATACTTACTAGATTTGCTTTTTGCGCGCAAGTTTTGTAAGAAATTGCAACAAAATATTGCGCTATTTTTTTATTGCGCTGATTCTACTCCACACTAGAGGTGGGCGCCACGCCGGCGCGCCGCCGCCGCCGCGATTTTTTTCACGCCGCCGCCGCCGACGACCACCTGTCGGCGCGCCGATACTGATATTGTACCAACTATTTGCAATTTATTTCACACCTATAATGTACTTTCTGGATTCGTGTTTCGAACGCAGAAGAACTAATTATAATATTTATTCTTTAATGCCATATAAATTGGTGGTACACAAGGCGAACTTAGTGCCGTTGATCCCAACTAATATTATAAATGCGAAAGTAACTCTGTCTGTCTGTCTGTCTGTCTGTCTGTCTGTTACGCTTTCCCGCTTAAACCTCGCAACCGATTTTGATGAAAGGACATTGTCAGAAACCGCCTTAGATTCCTGGGCACAGCAGTAAAGTATCAAAATTAATCTCTTACTTTTTGAATACTTAAATATTAATTAGATTGTAACGGACACTTGAGGATTAGAAAATGAAATAATAAAAGTCTTTTATATGTATTCCATAATACTATGACGACATCCGGACATTTTAGGGCGTGGCCTGCTCCATATCCTATGAAGTTCCATAATTTGTGTCGATAAAATCTATGTAAAATCGGCACAAGGCAATGCCGTACTTCATTGTTAGGAATCCATGTAATAGTGATGTTGACTGCGGTCATCATAGACAATAAGATACCGATCTTGTAAATAAAATAAATCGTCCATATTGCTACAGTATGACTAGATTTTAATTAAAAGTTAAAAATATATTGCACGATACTACAAGAAGCTATCTAATGTGTCCAACTGGTCGAAGGTTATGAATAAAATAAAAAGAATTGTGATCATAACACTGATATAGACAATGACAACAATATGGGATCATCTTTAATATATCTGTAACAGTTTCAAAATCCGATGAAAAATCCAATGCCGCTTAAAGTGAGAGAAATGTCTAAAGTTCTAATAGAATTGAAAGTTTTATTCGCTCAAAATGCTTATAACAATAATTGGTAATACATTTCAAATATTAAGTACCTTTATAATGTATCGATAGAACCAAAATGATGTCCTCTCAGCTTGGAAAGGGAAAACCCAGGATTGGGGGAGCGCTCCAGGCAATTTTTAGAACATTTCATAGGTGGTAGTAAATAATATTTATTTTATTATTAAAATTGAATATTTTGATATTGATAAAATTGAATATATCTTTCGATTCAAATACCGAATATTTTTCAATCGATAATAATTATCGAGAATTGTTAATAATATTCAATTAAAAGTTGTTCAATCCCTAGTCATGCATAGACTAAGACGGTAACCATGGAGATAGTTAGTTTGGTAAGTCACGTGTTAAATGTCAAGAGTGGAAAGTAAACATAGGATTCATGTTATTTATTTACGTGCAAAATGTAAGTAAGTAAATCATAAAAGTGGAACGCCGAGCTATTTCCAAAACCCGTCCAATATTATAATACAATTTGGCTGCGACAACTACAATACAGAACATCTCCCAAATCGATGTGCATAAAATAATATAATACAATACTAGAAAGTAAGAGGTTATGATAACAATATTGCTATCAATAAGTTTATAGAATTGGTCCGCCAGGAATAATTGTTCTTACATAAAGATTTGTGTCATTTAGAACCTAGAAAGTATTTTTTCGGCACTGTTGATCTAACGGCGAACAATGTATGGAGAACGAACATTGTCCTTTGGCATAGAGATAGTTTGAGTCCTGGGAAAGAACATAGGATAGTTTTTATCCCGGTTTTTGAAACAGGGACGCGCGCGATAAAGTTTTTCTGTGACAGACAAAATTCCACGCGGGCGAAGCCGCGGGCGGAAAGCTAGTATACTAATAAATAGATTGAATAACTTAATACTGACTATATTAACATTTGATCCAGTACATTATTCAAGTTGCTGCTTGGTCTAGTAAATAATTGATCGCGAGAGGCGCCGCTCCCTCTTGCTGTCAAACAAAAAATCGCCGCCTTCGTCTGGCAGACAACCTGTAGGTGTACTATTGGATTATACTTTAAGAGAATCACTCACACAGAGATTGGCAAATATGTCTCGGAATGCAAGTGGGAACCACAAACTCTGGAAGGCAACAAAGTACATCCCTCAAAGTGTTCTCCGCCTATTAAGTTTGGTAGTACATGAGTGCAAACTGACAAGAAAAATCTCAGACCTTTGCTACATGACAAGCCGGTTTATTTAAACCCAACGACACGGATAATCCAAAAAATCCACAATTCAATTAAAAAAATAAGATCAAGTATTGAAATTGATCCGAGTCTTGCAGCTATGCCTGCCTTTGATTCCTACTGATAATGATGATTCTTTCGACCGATTTCGGTCATAGTGACTTTAGCTGTCTTGGCGGCGCTGGTGCGCCCGAAGATAGCTTACATAGCCGATCTTCGCGGCAAACTCCTCGCACATTGAGAGTATCTGACTATCTGAGCACGCCGCCAACATAATTATTAATTATAGTGAATGGCGGCAGATGGACGAGATTTGCATCATCGCGTTTCGCGTCGAGTTCAGGTGTGCGCTGCACTTTGAACTCGCGGACTCGCCTCTTCACAATCTCCCGCCATTCTAGGCGCTAAGCTCCCAAACCTTCCCATTGTGATTTGAGAGGGCCCATTTTGCATCTTTTCATATGCTGCTTCTAGACATCTTTGTACCTATCTGAGGAGTTGATCGCCATGTTTCCGCTTACCCTCCTCAAGTTAAAAGTAGAAGATTGATTCCTACTACGCTAAGAGAGGATGAAAGACCAGGAGAACCAATGTGACTAACATAGCCAGCAGAATCGCTAAAATTAGTGGGCGTAGCTCGTAGAGCTGATGGCGACTGGGGCAGGAAAGTTCTTGAGTGGCAACCACGAGCTGGAAGACGTAGCGTAGGCAGGCCTCCCACTAAGTAGACCAACGATTTGGTGAAAGTCGCGGGAGGTACCTGGATGCGAGCGGCGCAGGACCAGCAATAAAGATTTGAGTATTGAGTATTGAGTCTTTGGGGGAGGCCTTTGTCCAGCAGTGGACGTCTTTCGGCTGAAACGAATGAACGAACGCTAAGAGAGTTGGCTACTTTTGCTTAGCCAAAATGAACCCTCGTAAAGCACCTTCATTTGATCTGATCACCATGCAGTCCATGGTCTTGACAATGACACACTGAGTGAGATCCTCGCAAGTCTCTTAACTTTGGAAATGATCCATAAGCCTGGCAAGTCGCCTTACGAAATCTCCTTCTATCGCTCAATTAATCTGACATTTGTATTTTTAAAATTATGGGAAAGGATCATTCTTGCTCGTTTATTCCCTGGCCTAAGTATGACCCATGTAATATAGTATACCCGACCATAAATTTTGGCAGAAACCATACCAACCATAGTCAGTACAATGTTTGAAAAAGAAAGAACCCTGTTCGGCTGCTTTCGGTGCGGCTTCAGCTGGGTTTAGCATAAAGGACTACTCTATGGAATTAAAAAGTACCTTCCAGCACACTTTACTACCTTATCTCAGTGACAGACAGTTTTAAATCAAACTCCGTGACAAAATCTTCTCTTTTTAGCTGCAGAGCTGGAGTACCCCATATCTCTGTACTTGGTCCGGTACTCTACAACATTTACTAGTAAAGCAGCCCAGATACCAGAAAGCTACAGCTTTCCTCAAATGCAATTATGATCTTAAAGTGACTAGACTGTTGCAAAGTCAGCTAAATGCCAATAATGCTTGGCTGACCAAGTGGCGCATGTAAGCAAGCCCCGAAGTCTCACCATATTATCATTTAAGACGTCGTCAACTTATACTCCGGCCAATCTAGACCTCGACACATTGCTGCAATCAACCTGCATTAAAAACCTAGACCCATGGATGACATGGAAAGACCATAAATATAAATAAAACAGATCTGAACATAATATTATGGCATCTAACTTTAGTCGACCGACAGTCAGCTAATCCATCATAAACTGTGTGCCTCCAAAGAGCTCAAAAATACATGTTAAGGGCACATTGGTACGCTCGCCCTTAGGAAATACACGAAAACCTGATCTCAGCCAAACCTGCTATCCAATTATCAAAGTATCTATGTATGATCAAGAGACCTAATTTACTAGGGTAAACCACTGTTCTAGTAGCTCTATCGTGTCAAACCCCAACCAACTGCAAATCACCTAATTAGTCTTGACGACACATACTAAAAAAGCAGATTAAAAAAAAAACCTAATGAATAAAGATCAAACAAGGTCACGCCGCCGACGCCGCCGCCGCCGAAGTCAAAAAGTCGGCGCGCCGCCGCCGGCCATTTATATATCGGCGCCCACCTCTACTCCACACTGACGTCTGGAGCCTTTAATGGATGGTATTGTTTGTTTACACATACAATGTCACTATTTTGTTGCAATTTCTTACAAAACTTGCGCGCAAAAAGCAAATCTAGTATGTAAATCATCAAACTTCTAATGCTCGTAACTCAGTTCAGACTGAGTTTAGAGGTATAACATGTCATAGTAAGTTTGGTTTATTACACTATTTTGTATCCAAAAAACATGGTTTGGTCGATGGCCGCGCGAAAAAAAAAAGACGCCAATTTCCGGCATTGTCTTTTCAACTGCAACGCGACTGGACGACGAATGAAAATCAGCTATTTTGACAAATTCGTATTGCGGTGTCGTTTTGACAGCTAGTTTTTTAACGTAGTTAAAATGTAATCGGAGTGCAATTGCGCCTTATATAAAAGCTGACAGAAAGCAACTTTATCTCAAACGCTTCACGAACATTTTCTATGTTTATTAGTTTAAAAAATAAGTTGTACGGATTTTTAATGGAAAGTGCATAAATCCGTTGTTCTTTGTTTGCGCGTGAACTTTACCGAGATACCGAATTGCACTTCAGCTGGAATGAAAATGGAGCGCGACTGGAGATGAAACGCAAACGAATTGGAGACTAATTAGCGTAATCGGGGCTCTGGTTGATTCTTTTTACTCTACAATTGGTAACTCACTCTCAGTATCGTTCATCCATATCAGGTGCATCACGTTTTCAGCCCATCTTGATGTCTTCGCCGGTTTCGTTTCGTTCCCTATGTCGTACCTGAAAAAAAAAGACAAAATACAAGTCCATATTGCAGCTGTATCTACACTTCTATAAATCTATACTAATATTATAAAGCTGAAGAGTTAATCTCAGGAACTACTGAGGGCTGAATGTGTTTTTTTCAAACGCGCTCACTAGTGAGCGCGTCAAAAAAACTAAAACCCAACTACGACAAAAAACGACGCTGAAAAAGTATAAAACAAGATTTTCAGAATACTGAACTGAACAAAGTTGCTAATGTAGTTGCATAGTAATTTTCATGTTTGGAAAACCGCAGTCACACGTTGTCAAAGTGCTACAGTAGGTAGGTAGGTATATTGTAACGTGTGACTACGCCTTTCCAAACATGAAAATTACTATGCAACTATATTAGCAACTTTGTTCAGTTTAGTATTCTGAAAATCTTGTTTTATACTTTTTCAGCGTCGTTTTTTGTCGTAGTTGGATTTTAGTTTTTTTACTTTTTATTATTTGTAGGCTAAGGCGTCGCTATATTTTTAAACTTGGGAAAAAACACTGATTTATTTCAAACTGTCAATTAAAATCAAAATCAAAAATATTTATTCAATTTAGACCACTAGTGGCACTTATGAACGTCAAAATACAGTAAATAAATAAAAATTGGCCAAGTGCGTGTCGTACCATGCGTAGTGTAGGGTTTCGTAGTTGTCCGTCGTCACCACAATATATTTCAGAAGCAAGCAGTTACTTCATCTAAAGTCACTTTTAATATTTTCTTTTAAGGAATAAACCACGGAATTTAAAGCTGATTTTTTTATTGGAACTAGAATACATATCAGACTATAACTTGCAATTAAAAATGTTTGCATAACATCATAATATCATGGTATAATGGAGAAAAAAAATAAAAAGAGAAATCACAAAAATCATTTTTCCTAATTAACTGAATGCGTTTACGAAGCACTTAATATGCTTATTACGTGTAGTTTTAAGAGCTCTATATGAAGTATTGTAACATTTCTGAATTATATGTTATTAGTTAACGAGTAAGAATATTTTTGCATAATTTTGAAGTAAAAAAATAGGCAACTTTGAATTTTTATACCGCGAAAACTACGCGGAATTTCAAACAGGAGTTTTACTATCATTTTTGTATACTGAGCTCTATAGGGTTCATCAAATAAATGAGAATGTCCGATTATACAGTCTCATAACACTCTGTGCACCGTATTAAAACACTTGTTTAGTTCCTACCTACTCTGAGTTATTAATCCTGCTTTGTTTGTAAGTGCACGCGAACCTTGTTAGTACAGCGCACAGTGTTTAATACACAGTGTTATCACAGCGCGCTAGCACACAACAGATAGGTACAGAAAGCAATATACATGCAAAGTGCGCACGACTAAAACGCATACATAGACACCGCTCACGTGCGCGTTATTTCGGACCAGCTCGGACCAGTGCGAGCGCGAGGGCTGTAGGTTTAAGACACGCGTGTGTGATAGCGAACATGGAGCTTGTGGCTTTGTAACTAATATTGTTACAATTAATATTAGATATTTTTTGTAGCACCTATGATGAACTGTGCAAGCCTTGTATTCAATATCCATAACAATGGGGAATATAAATTAATGGCATTTTTATGTGAACAGAAAAACTTTACTCAATTACTATTTATTTCTATAGGTATTTAACTTCATCATCATCATCATCTCAACAATAGGCGTCCACTGCTGAACATAGGCCTCCCCCAAAGCTTTCCATGCTGCCCGGTTGGTAGCGGCCTGCGTCCAGCGCCTTCCTGCCACCTTTATGATGTCGTCGGACCTTTTGGGTGGACGTCCCACGCTGTATTAAAGTATATAACTTAACTGCGAAAAAATATGTCGCTTGGGGGCAGGTCATGGGGGGTGCAAGTCAGATTTTTAGGTCAGATAGTGACCTAGTTCCTTCAAATCAAAGTGACATGCCACAAAATGGAACCGCTCGGTCAACATTAGCGCGACCGCCGAGTGTAGGTACAAAAAAAGAAGTTACATACATGAGTTCTTCTGTATCTATTTGTTCTATGGCGCAATTTAAATATCTATAGCTCTATAGATATATTGCGGTTTGCTATTTAATTTTGCCGATGCGCGCGCTCACTCTACTATTATCGTGTGGCGCAATCACACGTACTTAGTGTTAATACCTAGCTAGTTGATAAAATAAGGATAACAACTGCGCTTCAAGCGTCTGCTTAAAAACGGTGAGTGTCAATTTGGAATGACTAACCGAATTCACAAACATTACTACGCGGTCTCAGTGTGCGTGGACGCACAGGTTGACGAACCAATCACGCCGTGCTGAGCTCTATTCAACGCTGTGCGTTCGATTTTCGCAAGCATCGTTTGTGAATACGGGCGTAACTATTAAAAATTAGTAGAGTATGATCTTGCACCATTAGGTTTTGTAGGTGTCGATGTGACAACAATCTGCAACATTTTAGAGAATACTTTTTTGATGATTTATATGTGAAGCAAACGTTTTCGAGTTTACTTACCCATTGAGTCCATCTGTGTTACTGTTACGCGTTTAGTTTATTTTCGTATGCAAAACCACGCCCGGACTAAGTATGAGTCATGAATACATACTGATAATAATTAGTGATACAACGAATAGGTACATAGTATTTTAACGAATACGACAGTACATATACGAATATTAAATCTTCTATTCGGTGAATACGAATACGAATAACCTGGAAAAACCACATAATCATGAAATAAGTACTCATAAATTTAACTCTTTTTATTATGGTTATTGTTTTTGGCAAATGACATTTTTATAAACACGTAGCTCGAAACCTAGTAAGTCCAATTCTGCAAAAACCAATCATCAAAACTTAGCAAGATCGTTCGTTCGTTCGTTTTAGCCAAATGACGTCCACTGCTGGACAAAGGCCTCCTCCAAGGTTTAAATTTCCACAATGCACGGTCTTGCGCTGCCCGCATCCAGGTTCTTCCCGCGACCTTTACCAGATCGTCGGTCCATCTAGTAGGAGGCCTGCCCACGCTACGTCTTCCAGCCCGTGGTCGCCACTCGAGAACTTTTATCGTCTCTATGATGACGATTAGTAAGATGCAATTACCATTTTAAAACCTACTTAGTATTTTAAGTGCATGGACTTGTTAGGTTTTAAAATGGTCAATGTGAGAAATGTAAGTCACTAGGCGGCATAAAACTTGCAATTGTTAACTAAGTAGGTACATATATTTTATTATTCCATAAAGTATCTATACTTTAGTTATCTTCAATATAAACATCGGAAGTTATCCAAATCTTTAAGCATTTTAGAAATGAAAATGCGTTTTTCGCTTTCCTGTAAAAATTACTCCGTTGCACAGTAGGTACTTATTATTATTCTGTGGTTGCACTTAGGTAACTACAAGGTTTTAAAATGGACCAGCCGAGTGATGTTATTTTTTGTGCTCATTTCCTTAAAAAAAAAAAAAAATTTCAGATAATTGAAGATTGAAAAACCATGAAAGCCAGCTTTGAAGGTCCTATCAATGAAATACCAAATATATGTGTTGACAACTTTGAAGAAAAGGACAAAATGGCTTACTTATTTCTTGTCACATTTCCATTCAGATCATACTGTTGGAATGATGTACAAGGCTGAAAGTGAGGAATTAAGAAAAAAAGGTGGTAAAATATATATGAGTAAAGAAAGTGAAATCATTTTATTAAATAATCACTGGTCTTGCTATAATACTCGATTGAATGAAATCTTGGAACCGCTGAAAGTTGGTAAGTGCTTAAGTTAATGCCAATTTACATATTAATTATTTATTTTATTTATTACTAGCTTTCCGCCCGCGGCTTCGCCCGCGTGGAATTTTGTCTGTCACAGAAAAACAATAACGCGCGCGTATTTGCTCACCGTTTAGACCTACCCTGGACTACGACAAACATTTTAAAACCAAAATCAGCTCAATCGGCCCAGCCGTTCTCGAGTTTTAAACAGACTAACGAACATCAATTCATTTTTATTTATATAGATAGATAGATTACATTATTTAGCCATTACATCTTTGATTTAAATACTTAGTGTCTTAAATCCTCTTATTATAATTATATGTATTAAGTAGTGTTAAGTAGTCAATTAAATTTTAACTTAATTTTTCGGGTAAGTTGGTGGGCGGGGCTTGTCACTTGACACGTTTTGACATGCAATTTCGTAGTAAACAAGAGCTTGACGTTTAGATATACATAGACTTAAAATTAAGTTAAAATTTTGTTACCTACTTTAATACGTGTAAATTAGCCATGAGATATCTAGTTAATTACAATTTATAATAAACAGGGTACTTTTGTTTACAGGGATGACATATACTATAGACATCGCTGATGGGCAGTCTTTTGAAGTAACCTTAATACCTGTAACACACATGATCGGCGCTGTAATGTTTTTATTTAAAACTAAGAAACACAGGGTGCTGTTCACTGGTGATTTTATTATAGAGGAAAACGATGTGCCGAATTTGGAGAAATTACACGATAAACAAAGAAAATTACATATTGATACCATGTACGTTGATGGTACTTTTGACCAAAGTGATTATGAACACTTTCCGAGGCGCAGTGACTGTCACGCTGAAGTGGTTAGCGAAATTGAAAGATGGCTCATCAATAATAATAGAGTCGTATTACACCAAACATATGCTTTTGGTTACGATGAAATTTACAAAGCGATTAAAAAAAGGCTGAATTTGAACCTTTATTTGGATGACGAACAAAAGCGAAGAACATACAGGTAAGTAGGACTTAGGGTATTGTTCTTACATTAGTCGGCCGTTTGGTGTAGTGGTTCGGAACGGACTACTATTCCGGAGGTAGCGGGTTCGATTCCCGCACAGTACAAACATTTGTGTGCATGAACATATTTGTTTGTATTGGACTGGGTGTTTTCTATGTATAATAAGTATGTTTACAAAAAAAAAAGTATTTAAGTATGTTTATATTCGTTGTCTAGTACCCATAGTTCAAGCTAT